TTTTAATTTTAAAAATATTTTTTTATTTAAAATTTATAATAATATTTTTAATCAATTAAAGAATATACATACATTTTGGTTTGTTATTGTTAATCAACAAGTTTAAAAAGAAATTGAACAAATGCATATTGGTCCATTCAATAATTAATTTTTTAAAAATATTATTTTAAAAAATACACCTTAATATAGAATATTAGTATCTCTCTATATACAAGAATATCTTTTAACTTTATTGCAAATTTATTGTACTTATAAAAATATCAACCTAGTATTTTACATACTAGCTGCAAGTATATCTTAGTGACTACTAATTACATTACTAAATATATTAAAAATAGAATCATTGAAAAAAAAATTAATTAAATATATATTTATTTAGATTTTTTTTACTTAATTTGGATAAAATATTTAATTACTAATCATTCACTAATGTAACTATCTATGATATATTAGTTAATATTTTTATGTTAATATATAAAATCGATCAATTATTATCCTAATAAAAGAAGCTTAAAAAAATCTACTATAAAACCTCATTTATTAAAAAAATAATAATAAAACAAATTAAACTATTATAACCAAAAATATCATATTATATTTTATGTTTTTGGATACAATCAAGTTCATAAATAAGATTTTTTATTTAAATTAATACATATATTATTGCCTTTGGTGCATTTTAAATCTATAGATATGAATAAAATTTTAATTAATTTTACAACAAATCAATTAGAATTCGCTAGTAAAATTTCAATCTAAAATAAATTCACAAAAAATGATCTAATTACCAATACAATATCTTTTAGATATATTTAATAATGGTTTTAATATTAAAAATAATATGCTAAAAATAAACTAATAATTATATATGCAACAACATCATGTGATACTTTAAAAATAATATATTTTACAAAAAAATATTTCCAAATTTAATAACTTAAATCTTATTAAAAAAATTATAGTTTATAATATTTTAATATAAATGGTCTAATATTTTGACCTTTCAATAAATTCCATAAAATAAATAAGACGTAACTAAAATTATCAAATATGCCATTAGAAGATATATTAAATATCAAAGGAGATTAAAATATAGTTTAAAATAAATGTACATGATCTATATTTTGTAGGCAAGTATTAGCTAGAAATGAAGAAAATATGTAGAACCTTCTAATATTTAGACTTCTACTAGAAAACTACTTCAAATTAAGGATTAGCCTTTAATTCTTATGAGACAACAAGAAAGATGGAGTTTGTATTCTAGCCAAATTAAAAAAAATTCACAGAAGTAAAAACTATATTTGTTGAGAAAATATCTAAGATCATAAAATTAGATGTAACACAACACTATAAGACCATCTTCTTATTGAATGATTCTCCATCTTTAAAAATTCAAATTTAAGATGCCTAAGTACAAGCTGAATATTTTTTATCTCAAAAATCCACATATCTATGTATCATATAAGTATAAAATAAAAAATGTCACAAATTATATGTAGTAAGTGTGTTGCTTAAAAAACAATTCAAAAAAAATTCTCATTTGACATGATTATTGATCTTTGTATTAATATGATGCTAATAATAAAAAAATCACCAATAGATATATGTTGATAGATAAATTGTATTTTTTTTATATTAGTATGATTATTGAATTATGATCATTTAACTTTATTAATTGAGGTTCAAATAGCCTTAAAGTAAAGAATAATATTACATATGCAAATATCATTTTTTATAAATAGATAATCTCTTCCTATATGCTTCTATAAGATTAAAATAAATAAAAAAAGAATCAAATGACTATGGTAAAGGTAAAATAGCTATTATATTTATTTTGTGTGAAAAAAAAATAGAAAGCACTTCAAATACTTAAGCTTCTTTTCTAATGAAATCAGTAAATAGAAAAAGTAACAAATTATAATTAAAAGAATCATAGGAAATATATATATATATATATATATATATATATATATTAATAAACTATGTAAGATCAAATGTAACAAGCTCATAATTTTTAAAATTAAAATAAATAAATAAATCTAAAAGTTAGATTAAAAAATAGCTCAAGTAAAAAAGTTAAAACTAAAATCTTCAAATAAAAGTACTCTTTACTTAATAAAGTTTGTGTTTGTTTAAATATATTTTGTACAAAAAAAAAACAAATAGATATGTATTACTCAATAAATGGTGTTTTAGTACATTAGATGGAAAATTGCTATGTAGATTATTTTGCAAAGACACAAATTTATTTTTAAATATATTAATATTTTATTAATACATTGTCATATTTTTGTTGCTTTCATTTCAAAATTTCTATTATAATTAGATATATATCTATATCTATATATATATATATATTATAATATTTTAAAATCTAAAACATGATTAAAATTTTATTAAAATATTGCAACTAAAACTTATTATCGTAGTAATTGTAAAAATTTAAACTACTTAGTATTTTTTATCAGATTTCAAATCAAAATTACTACAAGTTTTGTAGAAAATATTTAAGAAATTGTTATCTACATATTAAAAAAATTAAAAAATTAACATTTTAGTTTTAAAAAAATATTTAAAATATTCTTTATTTTGCTTTATAAGTAAACAAAAAAATATTAAAAATCGTAGTTTAGAAAATAATTTAGAAAATACTTTAGAAATATCTTAAATAGTAGTTGAAAGCTACCTCTTAAAAAAAATTAGGTAACTAATAATCATTCCGTATAAGCATTATTACATCCTAAAATATTGCTATTAAATTGTGCTTTAATATTTAAAAATAATTTCTAATTTTTATGAATATTTTTTGTTCATTTATATGTATATATCATATCATAGAATATAGTTCTTTTAGTTAAAAATATTCATTTATTTGAATAATAAAATAATATTGATAATTTAAACTAGAAAAGATTGTTCTATTACTTAAGTACACATAATGAAAAAATAAAATTATAAAATCGGTTTTACTTTATTAGATTTAAACAACATAAAATAGATAGAAATAAAAAAATAAATTTTCGTGTAAATGTATATATTTATTTATACATATAATATAAAAAACTATTAAATAAAAAATAAAAAATAATACTTTCATAAAAAAAATTTAAAACTTTATTTTACTTAGTAAAAAAATCTACCAATATTATATTTATATGTCAAATTTCTTTTTTATGATTATTAATTTATTATTTCTTAAATTCAATAATTTTATTAAAAATTTGACTTTACATGTGTTGAGTATATTTTTAAGATATATGAGATTTGATACAATATTATACTATTAGATTATATGCAAGTATTGATATAATTTTATGTAATAATTATTTATTAATAATAAAATTATAATTATATTTTTTACAAACCATAGTAAAATCTCTCTTCTCATAAAAATCTTTGTAGTGCCCTTTGCATATGTAATCTATTCTAAATTGCAAATAGTTATCACATCATTATCCAAGGCATAGACAATTATTGATGTATCTATTAGAAAATCATTAGACTTTTTTTTAAGTATCATTGTATTGCATGGAGCCTTAGATCTTTTATTTATCATATGTTGGAAAATATCATCATCAATTTGTTAACTATTAATGGTTTGTTGTTATCCACCAAGTTCTTGGTACCATGCAATTCTTTCCTAATATTTTGATCTTGTGTTTGTATCAAACTTAGAAGCTTATATTTTTGTGACTTACCTCTTGTCTTTTTTATTTTCATTTTTTTTCAGAATTGAGCATCAATGGACAATATTTACTTCAATAAATAGTTTTAAGAAAAAATCTATATTATATCTATAAAAGGTTATAATTTATCTTAAATTTCTACCATTTTTTTGTTGTTTTTGTCTTTTGCAAAGACTTTGCTAAGTCCTACAAGAAATAAGCTTAATTTTTCAAAAAGATTTTTCTAAAATATTTATATTAGCATACATAGCATACCAAGTTTAATTGTCAATTAGGATTTTAAACTCTCTTGGGATCAAGTATTAGATTCTAAGATTGGAATTTACAAATTTCTTATCCAATTTTGTATTGTAAGTATATTAGATTTTTTTGTACCATATCTTTTAAATACAAAATGATCCTTTTTTTTAATGATTTTATTCATTGATATCAATTCTTCTATTAAAGCCTCCAACATATATATCCAACTTTCAAGGTTATTTGTATTTGGCAAACTTTGAACAAAATTTAAGATAATAACATTGTTTTCAAAAAGAAAGATTTGACAACAACTATATTTGTATTTTTGATAATTTTATATAGTTGAATATATACTAAGAATCTACTAAAGCTTTGGTAGAAACATGTTTTTTTGGATGTAGCCAAGCTTATTGTTGCATCTTGTATATTGCTTTTGCCATGCCTTGGTGTAATATATATTTAATTATTTGATTGACACATTGTGTATTCCTTGGCTTTGTTTGCCAAAGAATTGCTTCTTCTTACTATAGAAACTTATTTATCCATTGATTCTATTCTACACAATTTTGGCAACCAATTTTTTTGTCAAAACGAAAACTATTTTGACACACTATCCTACCACCTAAAATACATACAAAAGGGTTGCTAATAAACAAAAATTACAATGCACAACTGTGGCCATGCCAAAACTATTCCTCTCACAAATTATCTTAAAACCCTTTCTTCCATATATTTTTATTCACTTATTATACATGGCATGTTTCAAACAACTTTTTTTTTTTTTTTTTTTTTTTTTTTTTTAAATGTACATCAGAAAATGTATTTCAGTCATTAGAAAATTCTCAAATATTACTACCTAAAATAAATAAAGATTTATATATATATATATATAACACAACAGTACATCATCACAACAAGAAGACCCAATATTTAAAAGCCCAATTTCTCACAGTTCCAAGTAGTCATTAGGAACATGCGCTCTATGACATGTTTTGTGATGTGTTTGTGCTATTTTTTGCATTGAAAACGCTGCTTGAAGCTTGTTACAAGCAGGAAGACTAACTGTGTGAAAGAGTGAGAATGACAGAGCCTGTGCTTTTACTACCAGGAAGATGAAATGAGATGAGATGCTTACAAACTCAAGCTCATCGCACTATAATTGTGTACTTGGTAGGATGCTCAATGATTGTGCAGAGCATGGTGAGCTATGGCGGCACCGCAGCTCGAAAAGCCAATTTCATGGAGCTGCCATGGCCCACTCCTCTTCACTCTTCAGTCTGGAGTTTCGCTTCCCGTCTCCTTCGCTTGGTCTCTTCCTTTCTGATACTGGGTCAATCTCAAAGGTGAGCTTTGAAACTCGTAGCAGTTTGTGATTCCACAGGAGACAGTAGAAATAGCTTGAAGGGCAGCGAGAGAGTCTCCGCGTTCGGGGAGGGGAGAGAGAGAGAGAGAGAGAGAGAGAGAGAGTTGAGTTCGGATTTGCAAGAGACCATGTCCAAGCGGAACGACTCAGGCTGTTGATTGTCCGCTGGTAGTAAAGGATTTTGGCAGGAAACTCTTGACAGCAGCGCAGACCATCGAGGGGCCACGGGGGAAAATTTCTCGAAGTTCTTTGGATTGGAGACTTTGTGAGGTTAATTGAATAGGTAGACTTTTATCACAGGAATTTATTTGTTGGGTTATTCCGCAGATTGATGCTTCACCCTATGGCCCTGTGATTTCTTTGAGGAGAGCAGTGGGTTGTCCACTTTGTTTATCTGCATGTGGGTTGGGTCGTTTCTGCTGCTGCAACCTACTTTTTGGTTTGACCCATTGAAGTAGCAATACGTCAAAGGGGTGTTTGTCCAAACACGAGTTTGTTTGGTTGCGAGTGTTACTGATTCTTAGCCCTCGATGTCAATTTTGGCTTTGTGCGCTGGTTCTTGTTTGGGGTCTTGAGCGATTCAATTGCTTTACCTTCGCTCTTCAGAAAGGTTTCTGGTCCATTCCGAGTTGTTTGTACTTAGGTGATGAATGTAAAGATTGTGATCATGATGAATTCAGCTTAAAACTACACCAAAGCTTCAAAAAGGCAGAAGCAGTGAGTGTATGTTAAAGATGTCAAACTTTGGACTCGTTTAGCAACTTAGTATAACCTGACCAAGCAAAGCCACAAACCCAGCGTCACTTTGTATTAACTGCCGCGAAAACATTCGCTCGTGTTTGGACAGAGCCTTGCCCAAGCTGTTAGTATTTTACACCACAAGAGTTGGCCTTTTGATGCGTGAGTATGAATTCGGGGCGTTTGATGCTGAAAGCTCCTCCACCTAGTGAGGTGGAAGCTGCCACCACCATCCAAGCCCACTGGCGGGGGTTTATGGTGCGGCGAACGCGCCCTCTGGAGAAGCTGCAAATCATCTACGAAGTTCGGCAAGGCCTGAAGGACCACATGCGAGTGTTGGCAGAGCCTGCGCAATACGAGTCGCTGTGTTCAGATCCCAAGCAGCGCTTGAGATGGAGCGAGTGTGCTATGGCGCTACTGCTGCGCCTTGATTCTGTTCAGGGTGCCCATGCTGATGTGCGGGACATCAGGAAACTCGTCACCAAGGAAGTGATTGCGTTTCAAGAGATTATTGATTCCACTTCCAAGGACGCTTCCAGTGGTAAGCAAATCAAGAGTCGGGATGCAAGAGTTCCTTTCCAGAACTTATACTTCACCTTACAGCAAGAGGGTTGGATTTTTGTGTCTGCCAACCATCTGTTTAACCAGCAATAGAATTCTCATTTCTTAAAGGACATGGTCTGATCCTTTTCTTCGAAACCAATCCTTGACTGTAAATCATGTTATTCCACTTTCCACGAATTGCGTTTGTAGCTCTCAGTCCAGCTGCACTATGTCCATCCACAGATATTGTGAAGTTTACAAACGTGGTTAATTCCGATAGGAGGTCTTCTCGTTGAATTTGTGTAAGTGGGCTCATGAGTGGAGTGTGGAGTCGTTCAGATTAATGCACCTATTGAGGTGTTTTGAGTATGCGATGTGAATGCAACTACTCGCAGTATGGTTTATGGTTCAGAGACACTGACAGTGTCAAAATGCAGATGTGATCAGAAGGGCATTAAAATCAACACTCGCCATGTATTTAGCTTGACTTTAAACCAGATTGGTTCCACTCATCTCCACCCATTCACTTTCTCGGCGATAATGACAACAAATGATTTCCCTAACTCGGAGGTCCAGAAGGTACCTCCTTTCTTGCTGCTGGAAGTACCCAAGTTGCTATCAAATACGTATCACTTGTACATACTGCACAGATGATGAAGAATAAGAGCAGCAAGCTTTATAAATCAATTAGATCTCCCTCGTGAAAAGCTATAAACTCCATCGCCAGAATCATTATGTATTTTCCCAAGTAGTTTTGTATGCCATACTTTTAGCCAGAGGATTGGTATGCACATCATTGTTTATAAATTGACATCGCTATTGTGAATCCTCGCAGACGCCATCAGAACATCTGAAGTCACTAATTGCAAAACGTGCAGAAGTGTAGTGGGCATTGTGTATTCACGGCAAGTCTTGAATCTATGGCTTCCAAGGTTCCTTTCTGCACTGAACAAGCGAATTATGCTAACCCCAACTTAATTATAGGGTTTTTTAAGTGTGCAGCTTGAATAGATCAACGTCATTCTCCTCATTGTAGTGCAACTCTGTAACGGTTAAAATATAAGCTGCATTTGATTGTTATCTATGCTAGATAACCGCAGAATTGCACGAATATTGTTCTGGCATTAAAGACGTGTAACTTAACAGAAGAAGGCATACGACTATATAGATTCATGCGAATGATGCTACAGGCATTTTCCTCCCTTGGGGGTCAGATTTGGCGCAGAGAAGAATGTGAATACATTCTAGAACAGATTCGAACCATATGGGTGGTGGATTGGCTATTGTGGAAGTGTAGTCGGTTGCTGTGAGCCATAGTAATTTTGCACAGGAGCTGCGACGTGTAATCATGGTTTCTGAGCTTTGTAGGAGATGTTTCGTGCACAGGCTGATGAAGCTGGGGGTGTGCATAGGTGAACTCCTCATAAAGTGTCAAACTCCTAATTACAGTAGAAGGGTAGAGGTTGAAATATCCTTCAAAAGTGTTCTACCAGGTCTAGAATATTACGTTAGCTCTTACATAGAGAGTTATGCAATGCTAAGCCTTGGCTTAGCCGTGGGCTGCACTTATCTAGTTTGGACTGTTGCAAGTTCGAGAGCAAAAGATAAGGCATTTGAGTTACCTGCCGCTGAGAGGGCTTTTTGGTAGATTGCAGCAGTATTCAAAAATAAATCCGTCAAATAGGATGTCGACTACCAAAACATTGATGCCAAACACCTCATAGCTTATCCGGAACATCTGAATTGCAAAGGTTTAATTACTGACGCCATTTCTTCAACCCTCAAGAAAATCCTAAACTCAGCAACAATCCCTGCACACGAGCTTCACAAAATTCTTCGATGAACGACAACCCTATAACTAAAAACTCGAAACAACCACCATGCTCGAGCACCACGCAAATCTGAGCTGCAATCTCGTAGGTGCCAATGCGGCCGGCGTCCCTCACCACTAATGCGGCCCGTGACTTCGCAAGAAACAAACGAGTTCCTGAGATTGCCTGTAAATTAGGAAAGTTGGGGTGCAGAAGGTTGGCGTAGTAGAACCTTTATAAGTGTCTCATTGGGGTATAATGTGTAGGGTCGTGGTGTGTATTTGGGAAGTCAAGGTTTAAGCTGCGCAATGGTGTTCCTCGGTGGTGCCTCGCAGGAGCCTGATCAAGCTCAAAGTATACATTTCTGAAACCGTAACCGCAAATTTGAATACATGTGTGTAAGCTAATCGATTTTCAATGGTGTTGGTGATGGAAAAGCGAGCTTTGCGAGCTGTTTGATAAGTGAAACTGATTTCAAGATGGTGTGCTCGATGACGTTGGCGATGAAGTAAACATCACCAGCTACAAATTGGTTTAAGAGCTGCTCACTACACACAAGGTTTTCAGAATCCTAGCTCGGAGAGAGTGAGCATTGGTGAGCTATTCTTCATACAGGTTGATTGAATAAGTGGGAATCTCTTGCCATTCTCTACGAAGGGATTCACTTGCAGAACCGCTCGGAAAAAATCTAAATACAAGTCTGTTCTTCTTGTGACATGGAAGGCTCTAAAACAGACGCTACGAACAAGCTGGGGAGCACCATTTTGAATGCTTGGAGACGACTCTTGTTTGTTGGGTCCTTCCGGTGCCTGAGGATAATGAAAGTATGGCGATGAGCTTCGCCATAGCTTTGCCACAACCCACCGCTAAATCACTCGTTGCAAAAGAATATACAAGTATCAAATATGAGAGCAGAATGACAAAGACAAAGAAGGGCCAAGAGGTACACAAGGATGCTTGCTAAGACTTGGCAACATACTCAAATTGTAGATGTTTTCAAAATTTTGTCAAGCTCATAGTTGTAAGGGTTGATGTTGGAATCTTGACATTAGAGATTGCTAGATTATCACAAAATTAGAGCTATTTCTACAATAATTTAGAGGCTATTCTAATTTGTCACAATTTGTATTTTTAAAAACATGGTTAAACGTATATGTTTTTTTTTAAGCTTTTTAGAACTTATTAATCTTAGAACTTATTAATTTTAGAACTTTTTAATCTTGAATATTCAATTGGTAGTGACATTAAGATTCTTGATATGTTTTTTATTCTTTTTATTCTTTTTGATTTATTTTAATTTTTAATTAATTTTTGTTATTTTCATCTTTTGTATAAAAAATATATATATACATAAAGGTGTAAATTCATTTCATAAATAAAATCCCTATAATTTTTGAGTATTCCAATTTTTATTCTTTATTTTTTTATTTTTTTAGTGATATATATATATATATATATATATATATATATATATGAACCATTATATATGTCAATTTATAGTTTTGTTACTTCCATTAGGGTTTTTTTTTTCATTTTTATTCTTATTTTGATACTAATGTATAATATTATATAGGAAAAAAAAAACATTAATATAAAACGAAGTTTATTGAGGATTTGGTGAATTAGATAGATTATAATGTGAGTTCAACTGTTTAAGAATAGCATCTTTAAGGCCAAGTTGCTGATTGTTTGAAGTGTTTCATTCTGGTAAATATTTTGTTATTAAAAATAAAAAGTAACTTATTTGTAAGATGTACATTTAGGATTTTAAAAAAATAAAACAAAATAGAGACAACATCTTTGTTTAGAAGCATTTTTACTTTTATAATTAGGATGATGTATTTTTCTTTAATAGTGGTACTATGTGAAAGAACCAACAAAGACATATTTGTGGAAAGAGCTTTAAATTAGTGTGGAGATTGAAACTATGTATATATATATATATATATATAATTATTATTATTAATTTATTTATAATTATTATTATTAAATTTTTTTTCAAAAAACCATTAGGTGACTAGCCCCTCTTATTATTGCATGAACAATCTTTATGCTACACATCTAAGCATATACACAATTATGTCCATAAGTATTGTGGATATATACTAAAGAAAAAAAAAATTTAATAATTAATAAATATATATATACACATATATTCATATATATATATATATATAGAGAGAGAGAGAGAGAGAGATATATATATATATATATATATATATATATATATTTAAAATAATACCTTAAATGCATATTGTATTTGATAAAAAAATAAATTTTAATACATGTCTTTTAAATTCCACGATTCTTGGAAAGGAGACAAGGCTCTGAAATATATAATAATAATAATAATAATAATATGAAGATGATATTATTGTGTGTATGCAGAGCTGTGTGGCACAAGAGGGTGTCTATATAATAAAAAAAAATGGTGTCAATTTTAAAATTCTATTTTTTTATGGTAAGTTGGAAATTTCAAGAATGTGGAAATGCATAAGTGTAATAAATACTAAAAGATCTATAAACATTACACATTATTTTCTTAATTAATAAATAAATTATATGTAATTTATATGTTTAACTTAAAGTTGAAAGAATTTTATGAGAAAGTAGGTGAAATTAAATTAAATGGACAATAAAAAAATATTTATAATATTTTAATTCATAAAATAGAAAAGATAGAAAGAAATAAAGGTGGTTGGAAGTTATTCTTATTAAAACTTATATTAAAAACATGTATTATAATTAATTGATTAGATAGAAGATACAATTTAGTTGGATGTAGTTTTGGAATTTGAAATGGTTTTTCTATTTTATTGAAAGTAGATAGGTGTATGTAGGGAACTTTATGTTATGAGGTTAAATTGTTATTGTAATGTTTTTGGAGCATGTTTACTTCTTTTTAAAAGATTATTTTGATTGTGTATAAAAGTTTATAAGATAGATTTCTTCAAATAAGCGATTTAAGATTTAGGAACATAAATAAAGATTAATAAGTTTTACATTAAAGCTGTAGATTAAAATAATGTTATTAAAATCTATAAAGACATTAAGTATTGATTTCAAAATTAGCTAAGATTTCTTTGCTACACATTCAAGATTTAGTCTTAGAATTATGTATTTAATGTGTAGCAAATAAAATTTTATAGTTTGTAGAACAACATAGATATAAATGTGTTCAATAAATAATCTTAAAATGCAACATAAATCTAATTTGTAGTTTTTTTTTAAATAAAAAGAAGGTAAAATTGAATTTTTTTTTTATTAAATCATCATGGCATATTGTTCGAAATTAATCAAGTTAAATATAAACCAATGTGCAAACTAATTTAAAAATAAATAAACATGTTACAAAGTTTATTGATTACATAATGACTTGCAAAAATGATAGACTTGAGTTCAAATTTTTATTAAGTGAGTTATTCTTACAGTAAAACAAAAGAAAATTATTACTTTAAAATTATAGAAAATCAAATTGGTGCAAAGAAGTTCTCCTCAAATTATATATAAAAATAGACTTTTAGAGAATTATTTTGGAATTTAAAATATTATTGAGATGTAGCCATTGATATGCTTTTTAGGCATTAGCTCAAAAAAATTCAAGACAATGTATCTGTTTCTTTTGATGTTGCAATATATGATGAAGTACAAGGTGATGTTCGACTTTTAAATGATAGGTAGATCTATGCAAATAGAGAAGTGGATTTTGAATCTCATGGATTAGCAAAGCATCTATTACAAAAGTTGGAAGACTTTCATTGCATAGAAATTAAAGAATTAGGTTCTTTGAAATCATCACCACGCATGACAAGTTTTGAAATTATAGAATCTATAAAGAAATAATGTAGATAATTTGAATAATTTTATAAATAAATTTTTTTTGGAATTTTGTATGAAATTAAAAAGATGAATATTGGATATAATGAATTTTAACAAAGAAATGATAATTTTAACTAATTTATGCTATTCTAACTTAATAACATATTATTTTTTTAATAAAAGATATTTCCAATAAATCTTGTGAATATTTTAAAGTAATAGTAAAACACAATTATATTTATTTGGAAATAGAATTGATGCAAACAAATTTAAGTGACACATTGTCAAAAAAAATAAAAAATAAAAAACAAACAAACAAACAAACAAACAAACAACAACAAGTATGTTGTGATTTTCTTATTGATATTATGTATTAAATTACAAAAGAGATGTGTTACTTGCATGGCATGCATATTGGATAATATTATCAAAAAAAAATACAAATAAGCTTGTTTGACATACTATTGTAAGAGTGATTAATTTTAGAAGATTAAAGTTCAAAGCAATCTAAAAATTGTATATGAGGTATATTTTTTTTCTAACAATAAAAATATTAAAATTATTAAATATCTCAATTTTCCTTCCTTATTTTTTATTTTCTCTTGTAAATTTTAAAGAAAAAGTGAACCTTTACACATGTCGTTTTCTGATTTTGATTACTTACACTAAGATTATGTATATTTTTAGTTTCTTTGTTTCATGTTTTGATATTAACATACAATATGTATCTACTATGTAGAAATCAATGTGAATAGATGTTGATTATAAATATATATATATATATATATATGGCTTGACAGTTTGATATGTATATTAAGAAAGGTAATAAAAGAAAAAAAAAGCATGTGTAAAACTATTTGTGATGGTATAAGAGAAGTATTATATAGTTTTTATCAAAGAATAATAAGGTTTTTAAATTACTAGGAGAATAAGATTTAAAGCAAAATTAACGTTCCAAATGAAAATTCCAGTCTGGTCTCCTCATATATCCTTATCAATAAGAATGAAGAATTATTAAAGCATCTGAAATCTTAACATCCAATAATCATGTTGAATACCATCTACTAATTACATATAAGTTTTATATCTATTATTAAATATTTAGCAATATGTTTTAGTAAAACAATGTTGTATTTGGTAGGGTGTTCATTATCTGTTTATTCAAACCACATCAAAAATAATAAATTAATATATATATATATATATAGAAAAAAAAAAGTGAACTATGAAAGAATTATAAACAATTTAAAACGTTTTATTATTTACATGTTTTTCTTTTACAATAATTTTATTCTTGAACAGAAAATAACATTCAATCATAGCATCATAAAATGTTTAAGTTATGTAAATGGTAATGAACTATGCTGCAAATATTCCATCCCTGTATGAAATGTTGCTTTTTAAATATCTTATTTTTGATAAATAGTGAAAAAAAAATATGAATGACTTTGGTATAATATAAGCTTCATTTCAAAGTGATAATAAATATTTTTTAATATATATATATATATATATATATATATATATATATATATATATATTCAAGAAATGCATTTTCAAGTCAAAACAATTGCATGACATACTACATAATCTACTGATTTCTCAAGTATTTATTTTTATGGAAATACTTGTCTCAAAAGTACCACTTTTTATTTAGATAAATAAAAGAAATATCATTCCTATTTGTTAAGGAGTGCTTCCAAAGGCCTTTATCACTTAATTGATAAAATTTTAAGGTGTATTTTGATAATTATATATCCTTTCATCTTAAATTAAAATAGATTTTATTTTCAACTTAAGTACATATGATGCATACATTCATTTGGAGAAGTTTCAAGTGTGTATGCATATATGGATGTATGTATAAATATATATATATATATATATATATAGGAATGATAATTTATTTTGAAAAAAAAAATCTAGTAAAATGTGTATATAATGTAAAAATAATTATGTAATTCTTGAAACTTTAATTTTAAAAAAAATTAAATGTACATTTTTTAGATATTAAATTGTAAAATTTTATAAAGATGATAGTAAATTTAAAGCAGTAAATAATTTTACAATGTCAATGTGGAAAGTAAATTAAATAAAGTAAATTCAAAGACAACAATTTCTACAAGCACAATGTGAATTATATTTTTAATCCCTAAAATGCTTATAGTTTGAAAGTTTTTATGTTAAAAACATTTATACATTCTTAATATTAATATGGATAGTTATTAAATTATTAGAAAAAATATGAGAATCAAATACACCTTTCCCACTCTATTCTAAACTCATGATTTTTCTTTTTCATCAAACTTTCGTTTGATCTATGATATGTAAACTATATTTCACACTATTCCATATATTTGTCATGAAAATTTTCTAATTAGTCATTTTTTTCTCATCACAATTTTACTTAAAATGTTCCTAACTTTTTTTCCTGATGTGGCTTTCATAACATCTATTTTAGAGCAAAGAAAATATACACAAAAAAACCAAAAATAAATAATAAATTCTTATTTCTGAAGGTAACACATAATTTTAGCTCAAACAGTCCCTCCAGTTTATTTGTTTATTCCTCTTCATAAAATCCAAGCTTGGACTTGTCAATAGATTAAAACTCAGAGTTTCATATATTCCAAACATATTGTTCTTATTTAGGGTTCATTGATAAGTTCGTCCTTCCAGTATTTCTGGCGCACAGATTTCTATTAGTAATCAGTGCTGGATTCGGGTTGTACTTCTTCCTTTGAAGATGCTTCAATATTTTAGATGATGTGTAATATGAACATCTTTGTGTCGTCTAGAAAAATTTGATTCTGTCTATCTTGATGCTCCACATACTACACGACCGTAGTGAGCTCAGATCTTACACAATATCTAAAGCCAGATTCAAAAAATGCTTTAATCTATGGTTTGGATCAGGAGCGTTTTTTCGGATCATCTGCCATCTCTAAATCGACGGTCTTAGGGAATTGAATAGATGAAAATAGTAGCACATTAACTTGTGGGTGAGTTGGCATTGCAGACAACATCAGCCACTGGCAAGATCAGAATTGAAGATACCAGGGATGACCGATCTAGTGACCCGCATGGACTAGTGGAGTCTAGTATCTCCAATCCATTATTGAAGATACTAGAAATGTTCGACAACCAATCTGTTGATTATACTCCGTCAACACCTAGAAGAGATTAGAGCCAACCAACATGACTTACGATGGTGTTTTCGATAAGGTCCTGAAGTGTTTTAGTAGGTGTTGATGCGCATAAAAACAAGCTTGTACACGAACTTGGTACTAGTGACCCCCATGGACTAGTGAGATCTCGATCAACCTGACCAAAACCTGTCAATGTTTGCGAGAAGGCGTCAGCTGAAAGTTGGCGGTTAAGAATTTGAGGCAGTGGAAGATGCTGTGCTGCAACGCCGATGGAACAGAATCTAGCTTTTCTATGATCAGGATGCCGTGCCGGTGATTCTGATCAGGGGTAGCAGGATGGTTATGAGAGGGATGTGATCATCATAGTGGCACGCCTGGCCTCGGTGATTTCTGCAGCTGTGAATGCTGTGTCGACTGAATGCACCTTACTTGAAACTTAGAACAGCTGTCGTCGATTACAGTGTAGGACCGATTACTGGATAGCGTAACGGAAAGAGAAGTGGTTGAAGAATTCCAAGGTCCACTAAAAAGTCATGAATTCGCAGTATTTCCTGATAAAAAAGCATCAACCCCCAGCGAGAGTCACATGGAACACACACGAAGGAAAATTTGCGTTTAAAAATTAGTCAGCGAGACAAACAGAGCACTGTACCTTGCACAGAACACGACCTAAAGTCCAACAGCGGAGCTCGTATAGTTGTTTTCCAACGGTGGAACAGAACCCATGTCCTCAAAATCGCATCCGACCTGTGGCGAGTGACTGCCTGAGCTGCTGCCGAACACGGGAAACATGCCTCAAAACGTATCCCAACCTGGTTCACATGGTTCGACACCGATGGATGAATTAATAGATGACAATCAACATTCATGAATTTGGATGAACGTGTGACGGAGTAGTATCAATTTAGCTCCACCACAGAAACGCCAGTGGAACTCACCGAGCATCCTGAAATCACGGGTTCCGCGAGTCGTTCATGGCAGCACTCGCGATGATTCCACCACCCGTGATGGCGCTTGTTACCGGTGGGCCCGGTCAAGTGTCAGATGGCAACCCGCTCCCCGGTCTGAATGGGGCTGAGCTGGCCAACCATCGTAGGGTCCTCCCCTCCTGTGTTGCATACGACCCCCAGCTGAAAAAGTAAAAGGTTACTGGGGGGGGGGGCTTTCTCTTTTACTCGATTGTGCCCGAGAATCTGCTTGGTCCTTTGAGTGGCACAAGTGAGGTCTGGAATCCTTGGAGATTTAAATAGTGTGGGTCATCTAAGGTGTGGTTCACGAGCATTGTGGGTACAGGAGGGGTTGAAACCGCTTTAAAAGGTGACCACCACCTCCTTTTTTTAAGTTACTTCGGTAAAAGTCTTGAATGTTCCTCCTACTATTTCCAGCTCAAGGGAGCACGCTGTTTACAACGCACGGCTGGTATTCTTGAAGGACGGGAAATAAAATAAACTAAATAAATGATAATAATAATAATAATAATAATAATAACACAAACAAACAAGTGAGTGAAAAATAAAGTGAAAAGATAGGTAGGAGGAGTCACATGGGGTTCACTGAGTGAGGCAAGGTGGCAGCTTTTTCCTTCATCCAACTCATGCTACTAGCCCTGGAGCCTCTGAGATTTTATCAGCTTCCCACTATTCACTCTGAATCCTGTCTGCAACTACGCATTGTGTTTCCAATTTGAGGATTTAGGGTTAAAATTGCAAACTTTGAAGAATATATGTTGACTAAGTGTGTGAATATATGTATGTTTATACATATACGTATATATATATATATATGTATATATACATGGAAAGAGATGAGGCATGCTCTAATCTCTTTGTAAAAAGACCGATCAAATAATCAATACCTTGATTTGAAAAGAGATTTGTGAGTCTCAGTAGACAAACATATCTGTATCTATACCTATATACGTATACATGTACAAATATTTGAATAATCAATGTCAAATACTAGTAGTAAGATGTATGATTGGAACGGTGTAATTTTAGAAAGTATTGCTTTTTTTTAATGTTTTATAATGAAAAACATTGAACATCATTCATGGATGCTACGCTTTGAATACAACACGACAAGTTGTTTACTTTATACGTGTAAGAAAAGAACAAATTTACAGAACAAGGGTATGTTTATCAAACATGTTAATTGCTACCACATAATTCCGATTAGTAGAAAGATAAATCAGATTTACTCCTAATGGAATCAAACATGACCCATTTACATGAATCATTAACCACGATTTGGACGAAGAAACACGTGTTACAAATCGATCACGTGCCATAAAATCGCACATCCATTCTAACGGTTGTCGATAATTCCTATGCAAGATATTATTCATTTAAAATTACGATACGGCGACGATATGTGGCAGCCGTGTAAAGAACCCCGAAAATACTTTAACCCGTATGTATAAGCGAAAACACCATACCATACTAAAAGTTACCTCAAAGTTACCTCTGGATATTATACCGATACTATTTCAGGTTCGGATTTACCCCCCACAGAGGTTCGTCATGCCCGAAGGGAGGCGCGGTGTGAACGTGGTGCGATGCGCGAAGAAGGAGACAATGGCTACACTGGCTGGGGTGGGCGATGGGATTTTTTCCGCCGGGGGATGATTTCAGAGCCTCGCGAAGCTGGATTTTTGCGGGTGTGGTGTGGCATGTGCGATTGCGAAGGAGTTGTTGGAATAGGACCCACGAACGGGAGTTGTTGCTGTTGTTGCAGTGTGGGGCGCAAGTAGATGCGATCGGAATGTCGCCATAGAAAAAACTGCAACGGGAGCGCGTGAGGCGGCCATCGCGAGCCAGCAATTGGCGGAGAGTTATGTGTGTTTTTGGTTGTTGCAAGTGGAGAACGAGGTTGAGACCCGCCCGAGCCTTCGATTCACGCGACTGTGGTGGGAATGTGAGCTGAGAAGGGTGAATTTTCGACGTCGGGGAAGGGGGTGAGAGTGTGGTGAGTCGCGCGTCGTGGTTGGAAGTGGTTGTGGGTGTTTTGAAGATTGATCGGGCGGGGGGTGGGTGGGGTGGGGAGAAGAGGGAGAGACATGGGGGTGAGTGTGGCAGCAGCGATGCTGGAATGCGTATTAGCCTCGGAGCCGTCGTCGCGGATGCTGTACACGACCTCGCAAGTGAGAGTCGCCAACGCCGCGTCTGGATGGAGGTTGGCTTGCTTTCCGATGAGGGATAGGAACAGGGGTAGCGTGGGGCGCTGCGATGGTGGGGCTCGGAAGGGGAGGCGTCAGAGGAGCGTCGTTAGGGGTGCGGAGGTTGAGGAGCAAGGGCCCTCGGGTGTTGGAGAGAAGGACAGAAGTGTGATTTTGGAAGATAGCAAGAAATTCCTGGCAATGCAGAAGGATTTGTTTGACCAGGTGCGGGAATTGTCGTCGAATCCCTCGTGTCACTCGTTGTTGCAAACTTGGTTGTGGAGACGAAGTTTGCGGTGTTAGGGGGAACGGATTCTTGAATCGCCGTGTGGGTCGTGACTGTCCCGGCAAGCTAGTGATTACTACGTCGAAATTCTTGCGTCGATCGAATTCTCTAGCTTTTTTTTGATTTTTTTTGTTTTTTTTGTTATTTTTGTTTTGCCTGTACCAATCTTTCAAGAACCTGGTTTTAGCTGGATTTTTTTTAGGCAATCGGCATCTACATTGCGTCGGTGCGGTTCTGGAGATCGGTTCTCGGAGTTAGATGTGTTCGACAGTGGACATTCAACACTGATTTTGCATCCAATCTGTTGACATCGTGTGAATTTTCAATTCATTAGTCACAACATCGTCTCAATGCGCAATCAGATGCTGGACTATCTTCAAGGCGCTATGTTCTTAGTCTAGTTGCAGATTGACCAATTTCAGCTGCTCTAAACCCAAGAAGGGCAGTTAACATCTAGGAGGGGACACTGGTATTGCTGAGTGGTTAGAATCTTATCACATTGTGCATTGGAATTACAAGTTTCTTGAAAGCGAGTTTGATCGACGTCTGTGTGGAATTGTACTCGCTACAAGCTTTAGGGGTTAGTGGTCTTCAGGCGTACATTGGTATCTTTGGTGCAGTATCTTTTCCTTGATTAGTAGCTCGTGACTATGATAGTTGCGTACTTTCGACTTTTTCACGAATCCAATTGGAGAAAACAAATGGAGCGTGTTGATTTCCCCCAGTGCTGGATTGATTCCATCATTTTTTCTATAACATTGGAGAAATTCTGAATTGACGGAAGCCTGGTGGTTGGAGTTTCTCTAATGTAACGTTGCATGTCATTATACTATCCCCTTATTTATGAGCAGTGTACTGAACATTGTTGCAGATTGAGGAGAGGCAGAGCTTTTTCTCTTCTTCGTCAGACCAGTCTTCAGCTAGTGATGGTACCGAACAATCAAATGTACCTCCAGCTAGCACTTCTCAGCCAACTGAAGAAGCTGCCGATGCTTCCACTAGCACACAGACGGCCCCTTCCTCATCAGGAAGATCTCTAGCAGCCGCATGGCCTTCACCGCCTCCTTCGAAAAGGTCTGGAAGGTCTGGGCGTGCTGTATCTCAGGCATATACACCCCCAATGACCAATAGGCCTGTTGCGCCTCAGAAAGAAAGCACAGATTTCCACAGTGATCATGGTCGTGTGGGTAACAGTGTCAATGTATCGGAGAGGCCCCAACCAGCTAAGACCGAAGCTGCGGGCCCTCTCGAACTTGAAAAACCACCTCCATTGGCTGGACCCAATGTCATGAACATCATCATCGTTGCTGCGGAGTGTGCCCCTTGGTCTAAAACAGGTAAGTTCTGTCTGTATGGATCAAGTAACTGATCTCTCATGTTGTTGAGTTTGTAGAAAACTACAGTCAGTTAAATTTTCATCTTAGGTTGCACTTGAATTAGGGACTATGTGTTCAGAGAGAGTTCTTCTATTTCTTTTCATTGCCCGGTTTCCAAACTGTTTTGTTGGGAAGTTATCACTTTTCTTCACTTTTCTGTTGATTTGTTTTATTATTATTATTATTATTATTATTATTATTTTATTTTATTTTGTTTTTTGTCTGTTTCTTTTGGACAGACGAGTACACCGGTTCAAGCTTCATGAATGAGTATGCTTTATACTTCACTTTTTGATCTTCTGAATATTCATTGATCTAGTTTTTGTTTTTATTTTGAAGGGGGTCTGGGAGATGTTGTGGGTGCACTTCCTAAGGCGTTAGCTCGGCGAGGTCATCGTGTGATGGTATTCTATTGAATTTATTTCTTTTTGAACTTTTCTCTGTGAAGTTGAAGTCATTGGTTGCAGCTTACTTGGAATTTAGAACGAACTTTGCTCTGTATCTAGTTCTCAGGAATTCCATACAGTGAGAATGCAAATTTTGACTTGTTATCTGTCCAAACGTCAAATGTTTATCGTTTTTCAAATCAATGTGGAATATACATCCTCTCTTTACTAATGCTATGCGCCCTGCGCTTAGGTTGTGGCACCTCGATATAGTAATTATGCCGAGGCATGGGAAACAGGGATACGAAGGATTTACAATGTGTCTGGACAGGTAACTCATCATCTTTCTGGTGGATTTTTTGTGGCTCTATTAGAATGGCTCGGGTCTTGAGCTTGAATGAATCCATATTACCTATACGTGTAACAAACTAGAATTTTATCATTTTTTAAGTGAGTATTTCGGAAATCCTTTAAAAGTTGCTATCCGTTTCAAATATTGTGTATCACGTAGGAGGTTGTGTCTTAAAAGACTTATGTGGTGGGTTTTTTGAAGGATATGGAGGTTGGATACTTTCATTCTTTCCTGGATGGTGTTGATTTTGTTTTTATCGACAACCCTATTTTCCATGCATATGCCAACAATATTTATGGTGGATCACGAGAGGTGAGGATACATCAAACACCTGAGCTGGGTTGCTGGCAAATAGAATCTTAAATAGGGTGCCTTTTTGTGTGTTGATGAGTCAGCAATATCAGAACTTAATCAGCCCTGGATTTCGATTCGGTTTTGCTTTGTCTTTTTCTCAAACTCTAATGCCTCCTCATAACGTATTACTGGCTAAGAGGTTTATGACAAAGTGAGAAATATTCCGATTCAATTGCAGGATGTGCTGAATCGTATGATCCTACTCAGCAAAGCTGCTGTCGAGGTTGGTGTTTGAATTCAACTTTTAATTTTGGTTTTGATTTATTTTTGTTTTTATTTTTTGTGTTTGTTTGAATGTGTATGCTTGTCTATGTGTGTGTGTGAATGTTTATTGTTTTATTATTTTATTATTTTCGCCTAAATGTTTAAGGATTACTAAAAAGAACCAAAAATCTTATACTCTGACCACCTGCTGTATCTGATATGTATTAGTTTGTGCTTTCAAACACTTTTGAATACTAGTTTTCTATTGATCTAAAGTTGAGACTTAAAGAGTTCCCAACAAGTGAGTAATGCATGCATAAACGTGTTTTCGCAGATTCCATGGCATGTCCCTTGCGGTGGCGTGTGCTACGGTGATGGAAATTTAGTATTTATTGCCAATGATTGGCACACAGCGTTGGTGCCGGTTTATCTGCAGGCGTATTATCGAGACAATGGTTACATGGAATATACTCGATCTGTGCTCGTCATTCACAACATGGCTCATCAGGTAGTATTTTAAGTAACATAGTAAATTGTACTGTTTAAGTCAATGGTTATCTGAATCGGTGGACTGAGATTTTCCTCTATGTAGGGCCGTGGACCACTAAAAGATTACGGAAAATTGGGCCTACCCGACCATTACATAAACAAGTTTCGACTTTATGATCCACAAGGAGGAGAACATAACAACGTCTTCATGGCAGGCCTCATTACGGCACACCGCATTGTAACTGTAAGCCATGGCTATGCATGGGAAGTACAAACACAGGAGGGAGGCTGGGGATTAGACGGAGTCATTAGGGACCACAACTGGAAGTTAAGAGGTGTAGTGAATGGTATCGATGACAAAGAGTGGAATCCAGAGCTGGATGTGCATCTTCAGAGTGATGGCTACACCAATTATAACAGCGCGACTTTAGACACTGGCAAAGCTGCATGCAAGGCCGCCCTGCAAAGAGAGTTAGGTTTGCCAGAGCGAAGTGATGTGCCATTGCTCGGATTCATAGGGCGGCTTGATTCCCAGAAAGGAATAGATATATTAGCCCAGGCCATGCCATGGCTGATGTCCCAAGACATACAATTGGTAATGCTCGGCACTGGCCGCAAAGATTACGAAGACATGTTGCAGCACTTTGAGAGTGCACACCGAGATAAAGTGCGTGGGTGGGTAGGTTTCTCTGTAAAGACAGCCCATCGGATTACTGCCGGTGTTGATATTCTATTAATGCCCTCCAGGTTCGAGCCATGTGGACTGAATCAGCTGTACGCAATGCGTTACGGTACGGTACCAGTTGTCCATGCTGTTGGTGGACTGAAGGACACGGTGCAGTCGTTTAATCCCTTCAACGAAACGGGACTTGGATGGACCTTCGAGACTCTAAATGCGGATGCATTTATTCATGCCCTTGGAAATGCCATGTGGACCTACCACGATTTCAAGACCAGTTGGAGAGGCATTCAACAACGAGGCATGTCCCAGGACTTGAGCTGGGACCACGCAGCTCAGCAATATGAGGAAGTCCTTCTTGCAGCTAAGTACACTTGGTAACCAACGTCTTGCATCATCTCTGCATTGTTAATCCCAGCATCAATTCTTATGAATTTCCTCTATATAGTCCCTGGCAACCTTCTTCCTCGCACCAGATCTCAATCAATTTTGGACCTGTGAAATTGTACTTGCAAATATTGATGATCTAGTTCTGAATTTCCACCTCAATACCGAATCAGTTTTTGAGATGGTTTTCAATCCGTGTAGAGTGGTGGATAGACTTTGTAATTCTTTCTGCTTTAGAGGTGCCTATGCATCTACCAGCGTCTACCACAGACGGCTCCTTCGTGCATGAAACTACCCTTTTTGGTTCTGCAGCATCCTTGAGCTGCATTTCTGAAGGTGGGTACTTCGCTTAAGTCCGTTACTGGGAAGGATCAAATTGAGCTCACGACACTGTACTGTAGTATGATAACGATGTGCTACTGATTGAAATTAGTAGAAGGATATACTACTTCAGAATGGCCCGAGGAGGTGGCATTTAGGCTTCTTGTTATTACACACGTCTGAAAGTGCATTCTTTTAACTTGTAATGCGATCTTTCAACTTTTTCGCAGCATCTTGGTCTTGCTTCCCTCAGGTTGATTGTTTCATGGTTTTCCGTTTGTCATTTCAAATGATTCCAAACCCTGGATATCTGAGTTTGAATAGTATATGAATGCCACTCTTTCTTAGTGCGATTCTTTGTTTTTCAATGGTTTTCCTGCAAATTTTGGCTTGTACCCAGTAGTAGATTCTATCTTAACATTGCTTTATTGATGTAAAATTGCATTTGTGATTTCTAAAATTAGTGCTTAACGCAAAGTTATCATGCTGTTCACATGGTATTCAGGTAGAGTAACTTGATTGGTTGGCCTTCTATTATTTTTCACAAATTGTAGTTTAGTTGTAAGATTGAGATGACAACACCGAAACTGCAGTCAATGTAGGAGAATGAGCATGCTTTTGTTTCTACGAGCTTTTCTGCAACAGTTGGCGTTATCCGGATCAGGCTAAGTAGTTATGGTATATCTCATCTTTTAGATTTCCAGTTAAAATTGTTTGAGTCTCTTGTTCTGGAACTTACTTCCGCACATTAACAAGAATGTCAGAATTATTATGCAATTTAATTTTCAAATATTTGCTCGTAAAACTTGTATTTTTAATTTAAATTGAGTTGTTCTTCTTAGAAAAAGTTGAATATCTATTTTGTTTTCATCCTATTAACAAATATTGCATCAATATTTATTTTGCTTTTTAGTTTCTTGAGTTATGTTGCAATCATAGACAATGATATCGTACACCATTGATTGAAAAATCAGTTTTTTGCACTAAGTGTTTACTAAAACGGAAATTGTAGTTAGTAATTATTTTTCAAGTGAGAAAGCTTCTAATTTTTCACAAAATTGTATTTCTATCATCTTTTGTTATCTAATAAAAATTTAAGTAGAATGTTATACATTATGTAAACTCTATTATAAATTGATTTACAAGATTTTTATGATTGAAAAATAATCTCACAGATAGAATACATGAATAAATATATTTTCCAAATCCAAAAACGGCATGCACCTTTATGAAGTACCTTAATTTACACACAAACAAAACAACCATTTTCACAAAGATTTGAAAATGATGATATGGGTAATGTAAAGTAGACCAATGCTTTTACTAAATAAACCCACCCTTGATGAAGAATATGGTAATCATGATGAATGTGGTTGGTTTTTATTGGTTGCAGATCCAGTAGTGGAGAAATGAATCTAGAGGTCATTTATTTTTTTCATGATGGTTTGGATAGTTGGGTCAATTTAGCAAAAACTTAGGTGAGTTTAACATTCCCCTATTAATAATACATCGGAAATACAAAAAAGCATAAACCAATTGGTCATCAAGACGTAGCAAGTGGAACCAAATATGACAAACACATAAATTGCAACCCAGAATTGACAAGGCAAACCCTAAATGCATCATGGTTCATGGGTAATTGGTCAACCAACAACGAGGCAGAATCGTGAGATGAATCCCATGCGTAGTGTGAATGGGTCGAACCCTAGGTCTGGTCTTCGTTTTACGGGCGAAGGCCAAAGACTTCCTCTCTCCATGCTCACTCACAACCCGGAGTCCGATTAGGGTTTCAGGGTTTCTTCCATGAATGAGAAAATGATGCACGGAGCTATGGAGCGGACAGGATAGGATTTGGGTCATGTTTTTTTTCATCTGAAGTTGTTGTTGTTGTTGTTGTTGCAGCGGTAGCTCGGTGTGGCGGTGTCGAAGTTTACAGTGGAATGGGGCAGAAAAGCAAGCCCAATCTGCCACCGGCGAAGGGAAAGCCTGCGCCGAAGGAGAAAGAGCAGGTTGTGGAACCGACAGGGCCAACTGTGGAGGATCTGTTTGCGACTTTGGACAAGGCCGTGAAGGCCGATGATTTCAGGAACATTGTGAAAGTGTCGGACCAGATTCTGGCGAAGGAGCCTAATTGTGTGGAGGCGAAACATTGCAAGGTGGTCGCTCTGATTCAGGAAAATGAGATTTCGCAAGCCCTGCAGGTGATCGAGTCGACCAGAATTGCTGGTCTGGACCTTACCTTCCAGAAGGCGTATTGCTTGTACCGGATTGGGAGGCTGCCTGCGGCTTTGATAGCTCTCAAGGGGTTAGAGAGGAACGTGAACGTTTTACAGTTGGAAGCTCAAATTCTGTACAGGAACGGAGATTGGGAAGAATGCATCAGTAGCTATGAGACTTTGTTCAAACAACACAAAGTGGTTGCGAACGATCTCAAGACCAACATTGTGGCTGCTTACGTTGTGGGAGGACGGGCAGCCGAGGTTCCATCTCTTATGGAAACCCTCAAAGTTCATCCTCGCTCTGGATTTGAGATTGCTCACAATGCTGCCTGCGCACTTGTCGAGAAGGGAGAGTTCGCAAAAGCTGAGGAGCTTCTTATGATGGCTCATCGTATAGGACAGGAGGCTTTGATAGAGGAGGATGTACCAGAAGAGGATATTGAAGATGATCTTGCTCCCATCTCTGTGCAGCTTGCTTATGTGCAACAGATGCTAGGCCGCTTTGAGGAGGCAATAGGGAGCTACAATGCGATATTGAAGCGGAAGCCTGCGGATGCTCCGTCTCTTGCAGTCGCTACTAACAATTTGATAGCTCTCAAAGGTTCCCGGGATCTTTTCGATTCTTTGAAGAAAACGGAGAAGCTGTTGGAGAAGAAAGATGCAAGCCAGAAGCTTCAACTTGCTGAAAATTTGGAGAATAGGCTCACCATGCGTCAAAAAGAAGCCCTTTGCTTCAATCGGTGCTTGTTGCTATTGCATTCGAATAAGCTAGATCAAGCACGGGAATTTACCTCATCATTGTCGAAGACATTTCCAGATAACCCTATTCCAGCTATATTATCTGCTTCTTTGCTTTGGAAGGAAAACAAAGCTCAGAAAGCAGATGAGTTGTTGGCAGATTTTGCCGAAAAGCACGAAGATGTCGGAAAAGATGTCCACTTTGTTCGAGCTCAAGCTGCTGCAGCAGCTGGAAACTATTTGCTAGCTGCAAAATGTTTGGAGCAGATTACGTCTGCACGGAATAAACCTGGTATGATAGCTACTTTAGTTGCCTTGAAAAGTAAGGGAGGAATAGTGAAGGAAGCAGAGACAGTGTTGGATGAAGCAATTCAGTATTGGGACTCCTATATGGGTGATGAAGACCAGACTTCCGTTTTGGAAAGTATCCTTCAAGAGGCTGCAGCATTCAAACTAAAGCACAACAAAATGGAAGCAGCGGCTAAGGTCTATGAACGACTTATGAAAAGTTCATCTCCTGTGGTCAAATCCGAAGCATTGCACGGGCTAGTGGCAAGCTACGCTTACACTAACCCTGACAAGGCTGCTGAGTACGAGAAACAGTTACCACCCTTGAGGGGTGTATCAGGTTTGGATGTGGAAGCGTTGGAGAAGGTGCCTCCTTGGTTACTCAATGTCAAGAGAGGGCGTGCAGCGGAAGAAGCTGGAGAGAAGAAAGAGCATAGGGCTGAGAATGACAAGCCTAAGAAGAAGCGCAAGAGGAAACCTTTGTATCCCAAGGGCTTTGATCCTGCAAACCCAGGACCTCCGCCCGATCCTGAAAGATGGTTACCGAGGAAGGAGAGGTCGTCTTATCGACCGAAGAAAGGTAAAAGAAACCAGGCTCCAATTAGGGGTTCTCAAGGATCAGTTGCTAGAGAGAAGTCTGGTGATATGAGTGCTGCTGCTTCAAATGGACCTGGCCCAGACTCAGGTAAGTCTGTAGGTGGGAAGGCTAGTGCACCTGAGATCCCGAAACCCACTCCTCCAGCGCACAGAGGAAAGAAAAAAGGCCGCCATTAGTAGAACACCAGTGTAGCTTTTAATTCAGAATTGTTTTCCCTTTTCAGCTGTATATGGTAACATCCAGCATCAGCCTACATCGATGCCAACCTACCTTTTTGTACTCGTTTTGGGAACCTTACGATTCCCAGGATTTGAATTAGCCTTGTGTTCGATAACATGTATGGAGTAGGCGTGGCTACTACTGTTAAGACTTAGTCATCTTAGCTGAGGTCTGAGTCGTGAGGCACGAATTTTGTAGTCGAGGTCAGTGGTGTTTTTGTTGTCACATTATTTTAAAAATTGTTTTAGTTGCTCCGACGCATCCAAGTTGATGAGGTGGTATTTATGTTAATTGTGAATTCTGGTTGCTCAAAATTTACATCGCCAAAGGTTAATTCTTTGCCATATAATGCATTTGACATCATTTGGCAATGACATTAAATGATTGATAAGTTCCTTTCTTTGATGCAATGCATGAGAAGTTATATCTCATGGGTACTCACGGGTCTCTTGTCAATTCAACGGTTGATAAGTTTGAAAGGTTCCTGTCAACATTTCTCCAGGTGAATTTTCAGAGATTGAGAGGATGTCTAAAACAATGGTTGCAGACACAGTTTGACAATTCTAGTGCTGCAGTAAATATACTAAACTAACCTGCATTGGTACAAACCTTGCTCCGATATTCGATTGATCTCACAAAGTCAATATATTCCAAACAAGTGAATGAATCGTCTCATTTTAAAGCATTGGATAGCCCAACTTTCTAATGATTTTAACAGTGTAGGGTTGGACTATGATTCATCAGATAGATGTAGAATTTTAACGCTCAATTTAAACATTTCCACTGTTATAAGAATAAAATTAATACCATCAATTTGTTGTTTGACATAAATTGTTATCAGTTTAATATTACGTTTTGAATTATGACTAGATTACTGTTATTATTATTTACGTTTTAATGTTACATTTTAAATTATGACTAGATTGTTATTATTATTATTTTATAGTATTTTACATTGATGAATAAATATAGTAATGTGAACAATTGAGAATAAATATCATTAATTCGTATAAACATTGAACATTTTTTGTCAAATATTGTTCCAAGTATATATGTATCTAGGTCCTTTTTGACTCTACTGCAGCAAAAACACCAACAGTCTATGGCATCTAGTAGTTAGAAATAGAGATCACAACCACAATACTTTGCAAGTGATTTTTAGGCATATGATGTGTCACCAATTTACTACGGAGGAGCTAGGACATGTTTGGCAAATGTCGGCATCAAAAATTTGACTAATTCAAAACTTGACAATATTCCAAGAACAAAATTGATGCAACCACTCAAACTATATACAACGCAAAAGCAAAAGTTTGACAACAAACGTTAAATAGGCAGACACTGATTTAAGCCCTTGTTAACAAATTGAAAAACAAAAAATATATACATAACATGAAATGTGACAAACTGGCCAAATCACTCACTTGTTTTTTTATAAAACAATTGGCAATTGAGTTGACCAAAAAGAATAACACACTGTTGTTAATGGACTACACATACGAGACCAACACGTTTAAAATGTTGTTGGTCCATGTAGTTGGCACAACAACATTTAACAAAACTTTTTCTTCATGCTTTGTGTTTGTGTAGTGAAAAACACAAGAAGATTATGAATAGGTTTTATGTCAAATCACAACCTTGTATGCAAGGATTTATGTGTTCAAAATAGTCATAATGGATCACAAGGTAGTCTTGATGCATGTCCTTGTTGTTGTATTTCCAAATGCTTGGCTGCCTTTATACATGTGTGTGAGTATAAATTTCACTCCTCAGCCCCAATTACAAGATGGCCTCAATTAAGAGTTGCTTGTAATTGGTGGTGTGAAGTGAAGTAAGCAATTGGCAGAAGACCAAGGAGGAACAACCACAATACAAGTAAAAGAGATGAAATCAAGTAATCACAACATCCAAAACGAAGTCATAGTCCGTTCACTGGATTTTCACCTAATAAAAAGTGAAAGTAAAAAGTAAAAAATATATTTTTAGATACATAATTTTTTTATTTTTCTAATGACATAAAAATCATGTAATTCCAAGTTACTATGAATAAGTTATGATAGATTAAAGATAGAATGTAAATATTAGAAAAGTTAAGTGAATAATTTTTACCTCAAGGATAACTTGCTTAGGAAATCAGAAGTTCGAGCCTCACCAAGGCTCACAAGTAAGGTATATTCCGCCCGTTCAGAGGCCTCGAGGCCTTAGTCTTATCTTCCTACCTATACCCAAGTTTCTACAATCCATATGGGAATTGTGCACCTCTCTTCCTACAAGGATTATACTAGCTGCTGGTCCTCCTACTTTCTACTAGTAAAACTATTTTTTTTTGCATTCTTGACTACACCATGGTGTTCAAAAACATCCCATTAGCCTAGAAACCTTGCATAGTCTTCAAATCTTGCTTCATTTCTTCATAATGGCTCTCAAGGTGATAAAACTCAATTTTACCAAAATCTTGAAATTTTCTCTAAAAATTCATAAAAAATTCTAAATAAATTCTAAATAAATTCTAAATAAATCCTATAATGTTTCTATAATACTAACATCCATATGAGGCTGTATTTTCCTATCTTGGTGATTTTTTATAGTGATAAAATCAATTTAAATCCACTAAAAATCCTATTTTTTATATAATTAACTAAAAAGACATGAAGTTCTTTTTCATGCTTCTTCTAACTACTAACTAATCATTCATAGAATTTTATAAGTAATACATGTAGATAGGAGCCAATGAAGATATTGGTTTCAATAACTAACTCTTAATATTTAACAATAAGAAAAATACTAAACTAACTAAGATAATTGCCTCAAAGACTTACTAAGACTCCATTTTTATAACTTTTCTTCTAATAACACTTATGCAACTTATAAATACTTCTAAATTATAATAAATACTTGACTAGTCAAAAAAAAAAAAAAAAAAAAAAAAAAAACTCTCTACTCTTAAAATTTGTATAATTGAATGACTTAAAATTATGTTTTTAACTAATCCACTAATTAAGATCAATTTGTGGGACTCACAATGTGACACATCAAAAAGAACGTTCTAATCAACTATTGGAATCATTTCAAAAAGAACTAAAAGGTTAACCAAGTTAGTAATGAAGATCCTTTAGATGTGTACTCTGATCTCTTTAAGCATAATTTGGAGCTTCCTTGCCCTCACAAAATTTGGAGTTACCTTCAACAAAACCAAGAACTTGATGTCAATGATTTTCACAAACATTGGATATTAGAGAGTAGTAAGTAGCCACCAATTCTAATTGCAGATTTATTACAAGACAAATAGCATGAGACTTAAGAGTAATTTTCTTCCTATCATACCTACTAGCCAGTTGCAATATTGGAGTAGTTTGCCAATATCTCTCCATACATGAAGCTCCAAAACCCACTAATACACCACACATGTGGTTACCCAACTAAAGCTGCAAATCATAGCTCTAGCTCAACCAAGAGAGGCAATTTTGTGTTTAAATATATGGCAAGTCAAAAGTGTTGACATTATTGTCAGCTTGGCCATAACATAACCATGTCTTTTAATCATAATTTGCAATCTAAATAAACTTACATATCAATATAAAGATATATTTTATTTCTTAAATGAGATGGGAGTAATGAAAAAATATTAGGTATATAAATTACATGAGGTGTTTCTAATAAAATTTCAAAAATAATATATTTAGAAGAGGTGCCAATAAAAACATGAGATAAAAATACCATTTCTATATATATATTGAGGAATAAGGAAATAATATTGCAATGCACCACATGTGATGACAGATTTAAAATACTTACATAAATTTTCCATCATATACAAGTATCTTTATTATATCTATTTTTCAAAAAGTGAAAATTGATTGAAAAGTAAATATGCAAGATTTTGACATTGTAGTATAAATATGCAAAATGTTTCAATTTTTTTTGTTAATATTCATGTAACTATCTCAGCTTTGTTTTGGTGTTTGAGGACATTTGAGTAAATTCCTTAAAAAAATTCAATTTGAATCAAGTCAACTTAAAAATATGATGTGAACATATTCTTAAAGAATAGATCATATATACATATATCCACACACACATAAATCCAAATTAACTTTACCATCTCACACATATGAACAGAAACATCTGAGCCACGAAGTTCCATGTCCTAGTATGCATGATTTTTTCTCATGCCACTTTAAGACAACGCCTATTCAAATAGGTGGTTACTTTAAAGTACGGGGTCTAGAAAAGTAACATTTCTTCTGTACAGGGAGGCCCATCCCGATAGAACGAAGGCACAGATTGGAGCAGAAGACGGAGTTTGTTGAGGGGGTTAGGGTTTCGAGCTTCTCGAGATCCCGTGCAAGTTTCTCCGTCTCGCACGATCCGGCTCCGTGTCTCCCTATTCCCATTCCGTGCACTGACTCATTCTCTTGCAGCAGCTTCCTTCTCTTTGTGTCTTTTTTGTACGGTAGTTTTGTTTCGCGGAGTTTACGCATTCATTGCCCTTCGCAGTGATCAGAGCAGAGATCAGAATAGAGATCGGAGCACCTCGCAAGCTTCTCTACAATGTCAGGCCCCGCAGGACCGAAAGCGAAGAGCAAGACGGAGATGTACGTTGACACGAAGCGGAAAGACGACATTCGCCATGCCAACATAGTGGCCGCGAAGGCCGTCGCTGATGCTGTGCGCACCAGTTTGGGACCCAGGGGGATGGACAAAATGCTGTCAACTGCCACCGGGGACGTGATCATCACCAATGACGGTGCCACCATTCTCGACAAGGTGTGTGGTGGTCTTTGTGGTTCTTGGTTTGATTGATTGATTTTAGGTAGTTTTTGGATGAGTGGCAACCGCTTGAACACTCGTGGCGTATTTATTTATTACGTGGATTTGGTTCGAGTAGATGGAAGTCGTTCAGCCTGCTGCCAAAATGCTGGTAGAGCTATCGAAGTCACAAGATATTGTCGCTGGGGACGGGACTACTACAGGTACTTCTCTGTTGCATTACTGTTCGATTGATCAGCAATATGAGACGGATATAATGTGACTCAATAAGTAAGGTATGACTCTTGGCCGGGATCTTCGCTGATATATTATATCATTTCCACTCCGCAGTTGTCGTATTAGCAGGAGCGTTGTTGAAACAGTGTCTGAACCTTTTGAGCAAAGGCGTACATCCCACCACAATCTCCGAGTCGCTTCACAAGGCGTCCGAGAAAGCTGTTGAGGTGAATATGCCCTGATGATTTTATCTTCTGAGATGTTCTGGTGTGTCCTGTGTTGCACTCGGATGGATTAGCCAGACTGCTTTCTCATTTCTCAGCATCCTCTTTGTATGTTCGTGATCCAAGCCGCAGTGTGAAGTAAATGCAAAGTATTTGTGCTGTACAGTGGCATCGGGTAGATCAGTGTTTTGATAATAATCAGGCGGAGATAATGTCTTGCGATCCAGGTCGTCAAATCTATGGCCGTACCAGTGGAACTCTCCGATCAGGATCAACTTGTTAAAATTGCAAGCACTTCTCTAAACAGCAAGGTGATGAGTCTGGAATTGATTTTTCTTTCTCTTGGAGTTTTATGACATAACGTGGTTATGTAAGATGACCATGATGAAAGCTCACAACGGTGCCTGTGCTTAACATCTCGTGCTTTAAACATTGGGGTAAGATGCGTCAATTTTCCTGTGACTCACTAGAACGTACGCAGGTTGTGAGTCAATATTCATCATTGCTCGCTCCATTGGCAGTCGAAGCGGTGCTTAATGTGCGTGATCTGGATCGACCTGATAGCGTAGACCTTCGAGACATTAAGGTTTTGAGAAAGCTGGGGGGAACGGTAAGTTTGACCTTAGAGTGTGAGCGGTATTTGCATGGCTTGAATGAAAGGTCGCAGATCGTTACTTTTACTTTTCTCTTCTCTCCTTTTTTGTCCCGTCTTGTTTGGCTAGTAGTTTTTTTAAGCAAATTCTCTGACTTGGAGGTATTGGATAGGTTGACGATACAGAGTTGGTAAAAGGTCTTGTATTCGACCACAAAGCAAGTCATACAGCCGGTGGACCAACACGCGTAGAAAATGCAATGATTGGTTTGATTCAGTTTCAGATTTCTCCTCCAAAAACTGATATTGAGCAGAGTGTTATTGTTTCTGATTATACTCAAGTAAGTCTTCTTATCAATTTTCGTTTTCGTTTTCATTGGCCATCCTTCTTCAACCTAAAAGTTGGGACAATCTAATGAGATTAAAAGAACTTCTATATACCTTGGACGTTGGTGTAACATTAATGCTTTGTAGCGTGATTTCAAGTCTAACAGTTGTCATCTCACTAGTTTAGATGGACAGGATTCTAAAGGAGGAGAGGAATTATATATTAGGAATGATTAAGAAGATCCGGGCAACAGGCTGCAATGTTTTATTAGTACAAAAGAGCATTTTGCGGGATGCTGTTACAGATCTATCATTACATTACCTTGCTAAGGCAAAGATCCTGGTGATTAAAGATGTAGAGCGAGAGGACATCGAATTCATTAGCAAAACATTGAATTGTCTTCCAATTGCGAACATTGAACACTTCCGTGCTGAAAAGCTTGGACATGCCGACTTGGTTGAGGAGGTGTCTGTCGGCAGTGGCCGGGTATTTTTCTGATCCTTCTAACTTCTTCTTTTATGTTGTATGGCACTTATTGGATTGACAAAATATTAAATAAATGAATAAGAATAGAGCATCTTTCAGATTTATGTTAACTCTGATATGCAACACAGTTCACAAGTACAGAAAAGCTGTGAAGAGTGCCTTATTGATTCACGCCAAACTTACAAGTTTTGATGCTAATCCATTTCTGAATTCATTGTACAGGTTGTGAAGGTGACTGGGATTAAGAATATGGGACGCACGATCTCACTTATAGTCCGAGGCTCGAATGTCCTGGTACGTTAAAATTGATTTTAGATTCTGTGCAGCTTGTTGATGCGTTCCTGCACTATCATAACATAAAGTTTGACCTTTCATACACATGGTCCCGTAAATTGGTATTGTTTATATCAGGTGCTTGATGAGGCTGCCCGGAGCTTGCATGACGCACTATGTGTTGTCAGGTGTCTTGTTAATCAGCGGTATCTTATTGCAGGTTGGTATTATACGTTGTAACTATTAATTGTGTAAAGGCTTCAATACTCAAGGATTGTACTTTATTTCGTTTCACACTAGAATGACTGTTTTCTCTCTCGTAGTCTTTGACGACACTGTCGAGTGCAGGTGGTGGTGCTCCTGAGATCGAGGTTTCTAGGCAATTGGGTATATGGTCTAGATCATTGCTCGGCATGGAAAGCTATTGTGTGCGATCGTTTGCTGATGCGATGGAGGTATTGAATTTTCTGTAGCCACCAGTGATCTTACATTGCCTGTTAGAGGATTTGAATTAAATTTATTTCCTGAGATTTGCTAGAATATGCCATGTCGCCCTTTGGTTTGCTTGTGAACGACTTTTCACTATTAATTGTCGTGCTCAGTACAATCGCTTTGTGGCTGCGTAGGTGATTCCCTTCACACTTGCTGAGAACGCTGGTCTAAACCCAATAGCAATCGTTACAGAACTACGTAACCGGCATGCGAATGGCGAGGTATAATTGGTGCTTCGATTGCGAAACCCTGTCCCCTTTCTGATACTTGTTCTGCACTTCTAACCTCTTGTGAATGCAGCTGAATAGTTGCCCTGATGATTGCAGGCAAACACTGGCATCAATGTGCGCAAGGGACAAATTACTAACATCTTGGAAGAGAATGTAGTTCAGCCACTGCTAGTAAGCACCAGCGCAATATCGCTAGCCACTGAATGCGTACGCATGATTTTGAAGATCGACGATATTGTGTCCACTCGATAGTTTTGGACAGCCGTTGTAGTCAATTGATACTGGCTGGTTCCATTTATTAGGAAAAATATAAAGTCAGTGATAAGCACGGTTTGTGCTACAGATGGTGAGAGCCATTATTGGTTTTGAACGTCTTTTTTAAGGTTTAGTATGTGCTAGAAGAGGATACCAAGGGAGTCGAGAGCTGTTAATGCCACTTAAGTCTGTACTTGAAAACGGATATTACGCTTCACCAGTTGCAGTTTTATATTACCTCTGCTGATGGAATAGGCACCATTCATTGAATTATTAGGTAGAACATGTGACCTCCATCCCAAAGCGATTGGAATCTTGGCGACTTTTTAAATGTATCCATTCTGATCACACAGTGAAGCGAAACTAAGTTCATTGTCAGGCTCTGTTTAATTGCAGCTCCAAACAAGCGTCTGTATTGAACGAAATACATAACTGAGATTGTTCAGGAAATAAGTTTTTGACTGAGTATCGTTTGGATCAATATGAAATTGTCATCAGATTTAATTCGACGCAGGTTTATATATACTTTTATCAAAATAGACCCATCAAGTGTGACAGTTTTTTTGTGTTTGTATACATATCTATAGATATATATTTTGCACTGAGATTGTTACGTATTTTGGCTATGCGTCATAGTACATAGTATGTACTATAGATATATGTATACATATATATATCTACACACATACACATATACCATCACAACTAACCAATTTAATTGTTTACTATTTAAATAGCATGTATTATTGTTTCTTCATAAAATTCAAAATTCCAATTTTGATTCATTCGTGACTATATGAGCTCATCCAAGTTTTTAATTGAATTTTTATAATATTCTTGCAAATCTTTGAATTCGTTTTTTTCATTTTTAATGTAATATTCATCAATCAACATTTACATTTATATGCAAATGACAAATTGATACTTAAAAGTAAACATGTTAACCCCCCAAAAAACATAAAAATCATAAATAATAATAATAATAATAATAAACGTGCATGATTGAAATAAACAGGACATCAACACAAAATTGGCACACATTGTACGAATATCTATTTGTTGCACACCTTCATAATAGAGGTGAAAATAATAATAATAATAATAATAATGGGTGAAAGAAAAACCCATCAAATCTTCACTATTACCAAGCTCAAGGGTACCCAATTTCAGCATAATAATAATAATAATAATAACAATACTACTAGAAAATGGATGTAATAGCAGCACTTTCCAATACACACACAAAAACGTGACCAAGTAGACCTTTTTTCCTGAGAGTAATGTACTTTTTTCCAGGATGATGGAAAGAGGGTATTGCCAAGTCAGAAAAAAAGGAGGGACGGCCAAAAAGGCATCGCAAGAATCGGGAAAAGTCGGACAGATGAATGAAGACAAACGGATGAATGACTATACGATATGAGGAAGGATGAAGACACGCGAATGAATGAATACAGAAACCGAGGATGAACAGAGGGGAGGGGCGGAAGGGCGAGGGCGGAGAGGACGAGGCGAGGGAGGGGGGGGGGGGGGATAAGCAAGAGGGCATGGGGGAGAGGGGGGTTGCTTGAAGAGACTGCTTCGCAATCCTCATCACTCCAGCTTGGCAGTCCCGGCTTTTCCTCCCCTCAATCCAACGCGGAGCGATGAAGATCACCGTGGAATTCCCTCGCCGACGGTGCCACACAAAACCCCATTTCTTCATTCTTCCAACTGCTCTGTGTTTTTTTCCTTTCTTTCTGCATGTCTTTCGTTCAATCTCTCCTACGACACCCACCCTTAGTCTTCTCTTGCTCTCTCTCGCATCGATTGATCCCCCCCTCTCTTTGCTACTGCTGGTCTGCTTGTCCCACTAATCAGCTCGCTATTCTAACCTCCAGGGTTTGTAATTCGTCGTCGCCGTGATGCCGCACTGGTGGACACCCTGCATTGAAGCTTACCCTATCAGGTATCCCGCCTGGTGGGTATTCCCTCTTTTGGGCATATTCTGAATTGTTTTGTTTTGTTTTGTTTTTCGTAGGAGTGATGTCTTGTTTCCCGGATTCGAATCGTTTTCTCTTAACATCGCTCTGTCTAACCCTATTTGATTTTGGGTCATTGGTCGGGTTCGTGACTTCGTTGAATCTCTCGTGATCGCGTATAAGGTGACTTGGTTTAGCTAAGAGCATTGCTCTCATAGGTGCTTTATGAAATTTCGCGTGGTCGGTGCGGTGCCAAGTTGCCCAGAGTTGCAATTTTATTTTAAATGCTTACGGAATACTACAACGACGGTTTCGTTTGTAAACCCTAGAAAGCTTGTGGCATATATTTTTTTATCTTTTTATCTTGGAAAATATATCCATAAGCTTTGTAGTGTTTTTGAAAGCTTGGCCTTTTATCACGTTTAATGCCGCTTAACTCTGGGCGGAAATTTGGAAGAGCACCATGAGCTCTTACTATGAAGTTTGGACTCGCCGGTTGATAATATTTTAGAAGGCAGAATGCACTAACAGTTTTCGTTTACATTTATTGTGCTCATAATCAAATTTTAACGAAGATACTGAATGTTTTTTCGCCAGGATGCCTGATCGGAACCCTGCGAAGGTGAAGTCTATAGGTAATTCTGCAGATCCGGAATTTCCTAAAGCCATACCATTGAGGGAGGTTGTGGCAAATTGTGAACATCGGTGGTTTGAGCAAACGCTGAAGGCAGCAAAAAGTGGGGATATCTCTAGTCAATGTCTGGTCGGTCAGATGTTCTGTTCTGGTTACGGTGTGCCCGTTAATGTTAAAAAGGTAGGTGCCTGAGGCTGTTGCTGCTGCTTGCAATGAAAATCCCAATGTTTCGCCTGCATACTTGTCGACCATGCTCTGAGTGGTTTGTTCTAGTATTGTGTACTGTTTCTTGTTATCACAACATTTCCATGATTGTTCCTCTAATCTCTAGACATATTCTGACGGGAGCTGGAGAGGAAAAATCGTATTCACGTTTCTTAAACGAGTTGGATCAAACGGCGTTGTCTCTTTAGCACACGTACTGAAGGAAAGGGTCTAGTGATCAGTGAAGAACTGCAGCTCAGTACTTCTGTAACATTTCTTCAATTTGTAATTTCCAAATGATATTTGGTGATTGTAGGGTAAATATTGGCTTCAAAAGGCTGCAGAACTAGACATGGAAGCACGAAGCCTGCTAGCCTCTCTATCAGGTACATTTTCTTGTCTTCTCTTACTGGCCTATTTCGTTTCTGCAGGGTACATATCCGCATATTGATGAAGAACTGCGTTATGATGATGTTAGAGAACTGTGGGGTTGTGGCTGTGTGTATAGGTTTCAATGTAGATGTTTAATACTTCCCTTTCCGCTTAAAACCTAATTCGAGTCAAGCTATGTTGGTTCTGTCATTGACAGTGGGCAGATCGGTTGAGTCTTATATGGAAGAACCGGAAGCACGACAGTCTGGCACCACGGTTGCATCTACCATGCAACTTTCCTCTTGTAATTCCTAAGTAGCAATACTCTCCTGGCTTGGAAAATTCTGGGTGAATGATCTGTTTTGATGTTGATGCTACGAGATTTCTGTCACTTGCCACCCACAGGTCCGGAGTATAAACAGGACAATGCTAGTGTGTCCTCAAAGCAATCTTAATGTGAAGTTTTTGAGACTCCTCTATGAGACAGTCGTTGTAGTGCTACAAAGAGACATTTTATATTGTCCGTAGCAACTTCACAGCTGGAGTTTGGCCAACCAGCATCTTGGACGAAGGTTTTGTGCAGCAAGCCGAAAGCAGGTTCAAGTTGAACTGATTTGTTTCGAATGTCCTCAAGGACACGGAGCTAGGTTTTGAATTTGTGATCCGGCCAAGCTTAGTATGCCTTCGTACGGAGTCTTCATTGCAATTGTCTTGATTAGTTTCCGGCCTGTGTTGAGTCCAGTTGCTTTGCAATCTTTGTTACGGTATATCGGTGTTGGGCCTAGTTGTCGATGATAATTCTCATCGACAGGGGCATGTGTAAACTTTAGCTTGTTAGAGTCACCGAGACTATTTTCAAAGTATATCATAGAACTCTTGGCTTGGAATTGTGAGGGAATTCCATCTATGTGCTCTTATCGCACTTTGTATATTCTATATAGCTCAGGTAATCGAACAACAAGGTAGTTCTTGCAGTTATCAGTACCAGTGGGTGGAACATCTAGTTTCCTCGTTGTGAATAAAAAATGCGACTTCTGAAAGGTTTTGAAACCGCACTTAAGCGTTCCCTCTTTCACCAGCCTACACATGATGAGGCCCAAACTACTCTTTTTCCAAGGGATTTGTTGCGCGTCCGTAGTTTGCTAAGACTGAGTGAAGTTGGTTTAAATGGAAATCAACCGATCAGTCTAATCACGTGATGCAGTCTGTTGAGTTGCCAGCCAGCATCCGTTTAGATTTAACAGCTGGGAAAGAATCTTCAATTCAAGTCATTTGATGCTTCATATTGTTGTAACTGTGCCCTCGGACCCAAACGGTCGGAATTCTGTGTTTCTCATGTGCTCCTTATTCCGAAAACTTGTAAGGGTTGACTACTGGAAACAGCAATACTCCGGGCTGAATACCTGCACATTACCTTGCAGCTTTGGGGCAACAGTCCCACTGTCTGGGTTAGGAACTCCGTGTGCAAGAAAACCTAATTTTTTTGCTTGGAATGCATGCATTTTTTAAGACTTTGTAGCCCTGAGAAATGATCAGATTTGGGGTAGAGCAAGTTGAGGATGCTTCCAGATCCATTGCTGTGGTAAGGTGGACTATGTGTTTGCAAGCCGTTCGCTGAAGATCCTCCAATTCCAAACATAGTATTTTTCGCCCTAACAATGAACTGCACGTGCTCCTCTATTCCTGTGTTTTTAAAACATAATCTATAAAAAGGCACATTGAATGATTCACACTTCCAAAATGAGCGGACATGTGTGGCGTGGATATAGGATTGGCTTATCTGGAGAATGGATAATTGAGATCCAGGGATAAATAAGGGAAAAAACATTGTTGTCAATGCATAATTTAGTTAACAAATGGTATTGCAAAATTGTTAGCATGTGAACAGTTGCTGGTAGTAGTATTGGCATATTTGTGATTCCACTGTTAGCACAAGTTTATTTTGTGACTTGGAAGCCTTGTTACAGTTGAACATTGTTACTTCATAACCTTGTTATGTTTGATACAATAAAAATATGATACATCTTCTTGACTTTTTTGTATACAGATTTTTTTATTTTTTAAAAAATATTTTTTATTAAACAGAATTTCATATTTTAAAAAAATTAAAATCACGTGAGTGTGTATTTTTATTTTTTTAATTGCTATGCTTCTTTCAAATTTACGTCAATGTGCACACATAACACTACACACACCTTTTTTGCTCAATTCTTTCACAATAGATTAGCATATGTTTTAATGCTGGTCATGTCAATTCTTGATTAGTATGGATGTAGAAGATTGGATTGGCAACCCGCTTGTTAATGAAAGGTTCATGTATATATATATATATATCAATAATTTTAAAATCTATAGAAAATATTTAATATAAAAAAAATACAAGTAAATAAGACGCTCAAAAGTTTGATTTTAGAAACCTGTATATATCTGTTTACAATTAAATCGTGTGTATATATTTTGGATTAATTGGTCGTGAATTTATAATTTTTTTGTGGTTCTTAAAATAAAATAGAATATATGCTTTAAAACTTATATATATATATATATATATATAAGTCAATAAACTTTTGTACAATCACTTTTTATCTTGGGAGTAAGTGCATCTAAAAGTAGAAATAAAATCACTGTTGGTGTCAAAATTTACTCTCTTAGTATATTTTTATCTTTCAATTTGATTGTCTTTTTAAATTTTAGACATTAATTTAGCTATTTACTTTTGAATTTTCAAGTTGTAGCATAAATGTTTCAAAAAGACTTGCAAAAAATAAATAAGTAAATAAAATTTATTATATTTTAAAAATTTATTATATTTTAAAAATAATTATATTTATAACATTTTTAGTTATACATTTTAGAAATTATTACACTGATTTTTTATGCTAATTCTTATGTTATTATTTAAATTTCAAAAAATGTTGTAAATCAATATATATATATACATATATTAATTATTATTTTTTAACATTAGAATACTTTACTAAATATCAACAAGATGATTGGATATTTTATTTGTCTTGTGTTAAATTCATATAAGCAATAATATTTTTTTTCAATGACTAAGGGTACAACAATAATGAATCAACTACCTGCAATCTTATCCAAGAACCATTATCTGTTCAATTTATGTAAAAGTTATTTAGATTTTCAAAACCTACAATTTCCATAATGATGTATTTTAACTCAAAAAGATGCAGCATGACAAGTAATTCTACAATTAATTTTACAGCACAAAATTATTTATAATAAAATTTATTTATTTAATGCAGATTCAATAATTATTTTAATTGGAAAAAATCCCACATTTATAAGCAATTATATAAATATAACACGGTTAAAAAAATACCAATACAACTTACAATACTAGCTGGTTGTAAAATCATTATGTTTGGCACTAATACTGGTTTTGAGGAGGTAAATACTATTTCAAATCCAATCGTAAGAAACAGCACATAACAATTATTCTATAATACATACTTATACAACCACACAAACACATACTTCATAAAACCATTAAATGATGGATTTCAACTAAATTCGTGCAACTTGTCACCAAAGAGGTAGTCAATGCAACTAATCTTTTCAAAATCAATAATCTCTAGTTAATTACACAACTCCTACATTTATATTTATTTTAATTATATATATATATATATATATATATATAGACACACATAACCTCCGCGATCTTTTCTAAAGCTCCCAATACACAGTAAAAAAAAATTCATGATTTGTATTGATTCACTGAGGTTTGCCCAACAATATGCAAAAGCACTAGCAAGGCAAATTGCACCAGTCTCACAGGTAATGAAATCCTCTAGAGGACAGTGGAAAAGAGCGAGGATGAGCCCAACAGTGGGATCGCAATCTGAGTCACAAAGCATGACAACACACAGGAAAGCATGACAATACACACTTTTACACACACAAATACAGTTATACTGGGATCCATTACCTCTGCAGGGCTTCTTCCTTCTTTCCTTCATTCATTCATCGCTGCATTGCACTGCACTGCATTGCAAAGCATTGTATTGCAGCTGCCATGGCTCACTGGGCCCGGTGTGATGGTAGCTGCAGATCAGAGTCTGCAGCAATAACAACAGGAAGAGTGATGACGCCAGAATGGACTAGTCAAGTGTACAGAAGAGCAAAGCAGGCAGTGAGGAAGAAGAGGGCGTGGGGCCACAGTGGGAGGAGGAGAGACCAGGTGATAGGAATAGCAAAAAAGGCGGCGGTACCAGAGAGAGGAATTGCGTAAAGAAAAGCAGAGTAGAAGAAGGAAAAGGAACTGACGCAGCAGCAGGAGGAGCAACAACAACAACCAGCCGCAGTCAGCATGCTAGGAGGGAGGAGCTAGTTCTCGGCCAAGGATTTCTAAGCTTAGGCCCTCAGGCTGTTCCCCTTTGGCTGCTGCCAGCGTCGTCTCGAGCTACAGACCCCCTTTCCGGCGCGCTGTGTGCACCCCCACCCCCACCTCTCCCACGCTTCATCGTCGTCGTCGTTCCTCGCCCCCACCCACCTTTGCCGATCTAGGTTTGCCTCCGTTCCTCACCTAAGGTCTCTCTCTACCCTCTGCCTCCATTCCGCCTCTACCCCTAGCGCTGCCTCTTTCTCTATCCTGGAATCAATCATCCGAGGTGTACTATTTCTCTGTTTGAATGTGTACTTGCCTGTCTCTGTCCCTCTGTCCCTAGATTTGTATAGTGTGTGTGTGTGCGTGCGTGCGTATGCGTGTGTGTGTGTTTTTTTTTGTTCCTGGTCAACTGGGTCGTTGAGGCTCCTCCCCAGGTTCTAGATCTCATGTTGTACCCCGGAGTGCCACGGCATTGCTGGAGTGTCTGTTCGTGAGGGTGCTGTTTCGATCCACAGCATGATCCTGTCAGTGCAGATTTGAAATCTGTTTCGTTGGCGATCGTTGTATTTTTGTGATTCATGTCCCGACTTGGAGCGGACAGCTGCAGCCGCGTAAACATTGCGGGTATTGAGGTACATGCGCGGTGGTTGCCTCTGTCTATCGCAGAGAGCAGGTCCGGAACTTACTCGAGAGCGCTCTGACGAAGACACCATTCAGAGCTCATGTCTGCAAGCCACAACAGCCAAATCTGGGCGCAGCTGGAGAAGCATGGGTGCATCTAGCAAATTTTTCAAGTCTCTTATTAGTGGAAAACGTGGAGGAGGCGCTGGCGGGGCAGTAGCCGCGACACCTGCTCCGGCGAAAGCACAATCGGAAACGAAAGCATTGTCCACCACAGGGTCTGAGAATGCTGTTTCCGAGAGGGAACCTTCCGAACGGTCTCTTCAATCAGAAAAAGAGGATGCTGTCGTAAGTTTGCATTGAGCCTCTCTGAATTTCTCTTGTAATTTAGTGAGTCTTGGTCAATACAATACCCAATTTTCATTCCTTGCAAAGATTTTCTTGTGCTAGAAGAGTTTTGCGAATTCTTCTACCTAGGTTACGATCCCAACTTTCGAACTTTTTCTTCGCCTTCTCACTCAAGATTTGATTTCCTCAATTTCACTTCACAGAACCTAAGATGTATGTCTTGTTATTGAGTCCTAAGAATAAACGATGCAATCGTTTTGGGATCAATGGTCATGTTTTCTCTGGTCAGTCGAAAAGCCACTCACAAGAATAGTGTTTGGTTCCGTAGAACACTCCGGCCCCTCCAAAGAAAAACCATGGAGAGAAATCGAACGAAAAGAGTCACAAGCGATGGACGCTCTGGAGACACGGCACAGAGAGCGACCACGATCCGGAGACGGATGTCGTATCCACAGGGCCGGTCATGTCCAGCTACAGCCAGGAGTTCAAAATGGAGCAGCTGCAAGTGATGATAGACGAGACCATGGGAACCGAGAGCCCGTCTCCTAACTCGCATTCGATTGTGGTGGCAGAATGGGCTGCAATTCGTATTCAAACTGCTTTCCGTGGATTTCTGGTTTGTTCGGAAATCTTTTCTGTCTTGCATTTTAGTAAATGGTTTAGGGGAGCAGCCTTCATAGACTAAAACTAATCTTCAAAATCAGTTTTATTCAAGATTTTTAAAACCAGTAGGCTGTGGTTAAGCAGTCCACTCACAGGATAACTATTGTACTTTTTTTTTCTTAAGTTAGAATCTTCTCCCGCAGGCAAGGAGAGCTCTGAGAGCATTGAAAGGATTGGTGCGCTTGCAAGCTCTGGTGCGTGGGCACACTGTCAGGAGGCAAGCGGCAATAACGCTGCGATGCATGCAAGCTCTAGTGAGGGTCCAAGCACGCGTTCGTGCTCGCCGAGTGCGCATGTCTCAGCAAGGCCTTGCAGTGCAGCGTACCATTGGCCATCGACGTCTCATCGAGGCTCAGCTTCGTGAATCAGAGGTACTATTATCATCTTTTCGGCTCAATCATATTTCAATTGTCACCACTGAAAATGCAAACTGCAAGGTGGTCTTTATGGTGCACAACCCCTCCCACGAGGTTGTTATTCGGCACCTGTACACTCGGTGCACAAGCGAATTTATCTAGTCCCAACTTTGCCCTCGTTTAGTGTCCTTGTGGACACCACCAAGCTGGCTTCTCATATTCCAATCACAATGTTTGTTCCCACAGCTCGGGTGGTGCGCTAGTTCTCGAACTAAACAAGACCTTCAAGCGAAGCTTCAACAAAGGCAGGAGGGACTTATGAAGCGCGAGAGAGCCATAGCTTATGCTAACAGTCACCAGGTACTCAATATCCACTCTTCCTTTCTAATCAACACTAAGTTTATCCTATTCTGAACCATGTAATCCTATTTTTTTACGTGTTGGGGAGTTTGGGGTCTCAGACCGTTTGATACATAAGCTCTGTATTGGTGGACACGCTATCACTTAATGAAGTCTTCTCTTCGCTTTGAGAGAATTTAAGGAGTAGGTTTGCAGTTTCCTCTATGGCCTAGTTTCTTCGACATCTTCCTTCGTATTTCGAAAAAAAAGGTTCAAAGAGTCAGTGTGAGGATGCATACATTGGATGGTTGTTCCTGACGATATTAGAGTTCTGGATTGTGTGATCAGTGGAGACCAGAGAGTAACGGAGGATCCTCTCAGGTATACTTCAACAATGAAGGTGACAAACCCCACTGGGGTTGGAGCTGGCTGGAGCGTTGGATGGCGGCTCGCCCTTGGGAGAATCGTCCTCTGAAGGATGCTCCGGATCGTTCACCCACCAAAGTTGCCGCCGAGAACCAAGACGATCAGTTGCCGCAGAGTTACATGGACGAATCGCCAACACAATCCCAAGCATTGCATCAGAGTTCTGACAACACCAGCAAGCAAACATCTCCCATCACTTCCACGTTGATGCAGCTTCAGCGGCAACAGCGGCAGATGCTGAGGGGATGCAATGACCAAGCTGAATCGGATGCCTCCTCAACTCCATGCTCAAACTCCCACACGCCATCCAATAGTGAGAATATTCAGTCTTCTGCTGTCAGGAGAAGCGGTTACATGGCAGCAACAAAGTCGGCCCAAGCCAAGGCTCGAGCTTACAACACTCCCAATCCCAAGCAGCGGACACCGGATGATGGGGCACAATCGAAAGCTAAGAGGCGGACTTCGTTACCAACGCGAGAATCTCGTGATTCTACCAGAAGTACAGCGTTAAGTATGAGTCCAAGTAATTCCCAAGCGACATCCAGAAACTCATCCGGCCGGGGTGACAAATCCCACCACAGTGGAGAATCCGGCTCGCAACCATTTCCCAAGCCAAGCTCACGCAGAAGTGATGCGTCTTCGTTTGTGCCTGAAGCTAGAAAATCAACACGGCGCTCGCCAGGAGATTTTATGTCTGCTTCGTATAATATGGATCGAGGCTCCCGTAAAGCCAGTGACATACTTGCATCGGCGTACAAGGCTAGCGGGGGATCTCGAAAAGGTGCAGGTGATTTTATGCACCAGTCTTACAATTTTGGTAGACCAACTCGCAGACATGGAGACTTCATGACCTCGTCATATAATCAGGACAGACCTCGACGGAGCGCTGAGACTCGGCAGTCAAATCTCGAATCCGCTACGAAGAAAAACGATTTTCTCGCACACTATAATGCCCAAGATAAGTCTACTTCCAGAAAAGACATTCTGTCTAAATCTTTGAATTACGAGAAGCCTACGCAGAAGAAGTCATCTTCAAATACTGTAACTTCAGACAGCGTCTCGCAGTCCAACCATCGATCTTCTCAGCAGCCGAAGCCATCGCGCCGAAGTGGGGAATATTCCAGAAGCGACAGGCCCACAAGCAGAGCTGTTGATGCCCTGAATCGGTCTTACCAATCAGAGAGACCTCCATTCGGCCATAGTGCGGATTTCACTTCGCACTCGTCTGTGCATGGAGATTTCTGGAAGCCTATTAGATGATTTTTTTAACAATTTTTTATTAGCTAATTTATTTTTTTAATAAGACCTTAGAATCGTCGGATTCACAATCATGTGGCCCAATATCATTCGATTGGGCCTGAAAGCATATTGGCTTGGCTTGAGTGGCGTAGTTGATACATCGCATTGTACATTTATTTTCAGCCTCTGTTATCGGTCGCTGTGAACGGTGAATCAGACACATGTTCCCAGGTTTATGTTACACCTCGATGGAGTATTTGTATGTTTCTGGCTGTTACGCACCTTGCGGTTTCAAATGCAGGGTTTGTATCTGTTCCCGAGGAGCTACCTTGAATGACTATCGTTCACAGAAAATTTACAAAAAGATCTAAAGTTCATACGATGTTTGAATAAATACTCTAGCATCTTCTCAATTTTTTGTCGCGTATAATCCACACATGTTCAATTGTTCAATTAGGAGGCTAAGTACAGAAGTGAATGCTGGTGATTTTGAAACACAAGTTGGGTTCTGCAGTGTTCTAAATGAATTATGTAACGTAGGTCGCAGTGTATCGATGCCTGCAACTGAGGAATTAAATGATGTCCCAGCCTATTATTTTATGACATTGAATGTTCATAGTCAGCGGCAGCTTGTGTTCACGTACTCTTTAGATCATCTGTGGTCGGATTCCACCTTCAACTTTTAATCATAGTGCACTAAAGCTCAAGTTTGAGTCCATTTTGACTGGTCACGAAGAGTTTCATTTGTGTAGCATGTGATCCATGTTTTGCTCTCTTTTCAATCTTACCCGCTGGTTGTTCACACGTACAGCGATGCAACTCATCGTCAATGATGGCTTTTGCGGCGCCTCGACTTACGATGGCGTCTACCATGACGCTTGCGGCTGTGCCGTCTTCGGCGGCTTCCACCCCGACGACGCCTATGGCGATGACCTCCACGGCTTCGTCGCTGCGATTTTACCGAGCCGACAGCCAAACTGCGGCTACGGCGACTCACAGCCTTATCAACTGCTTTCTTAGAGCTAGCTCTCGCAAGCTTGTACTTACCGCCGCTCTTCTGAATTCGGCCCTTCTGCACCAGACCTTTCAGTGTAGATGTCAGCATCTTATTCTTAGCTTCGCTGAGCTTGCCATCGGAGCCCAGTTCCAGGCGCTTGCGGATCTCCGCTAAGCTGGCTCCCTGCCGTTGCTTCAGAACGAGAATCGTATCCTGCAGCATGGATTCCTGCGGTGGCCATGTCTCCTTCATTCCGTCTATCGAGATCCACCGACAGCAACACAGACCTTGATTGGGGAAAGAATGCAACGATCTCAGTGTAAGCTGGAAATCAAGGAGAGGACTAAGTGCGCATCTAAGTGGGATCTAGCAGCAGCAATGAGCTCGCGGAGGTAGCACTGCAATTTGTGTGCAGAGAGGCCTCATGAGAATGAATTATGTGGCCGCGACCTGGTGGGGTCGAAACGTTACCTCACGCGACCATTCGAGGTGCCTCTCTAATGCCGGCGTAGCGGCCGCGGCCGCACTGGATCGGCACTCGGCGTCTCTCATGGCACAGTTTGGGTTTAATTGTTCATGGTCCAGGGTTTGATTGCGTCTTGTGAAGGGTGGAGCCTCTATACAATTTTGGGCTTCATCCCAAGCATTTTTGGACTTACAACACAAACCCATTTAAAATTGTAACTATAAAGAATTGATTATTACAAGGGTGAAATTTCACCTGTGTTTGAATAACAATGACCTATGTATTAAGATCCATGACCAATTAAAAAAAAAAAGTTTTTGACTAAATCATATCTTGAAATAGGATAAAACTTACCCTTGCTTGATTTTGAACTTTGTCACTTTTACTTGATTTTAGACTAATTTTTGAAGCTTGCAAATAGAATAGGCAAAGTAATGGGGTGGAGCTTTGACCTATGGTACCATTAATTCATCTAAATATCAATCAAACTAAGACTGATTACTACTTTGAGCAAAACCTAAAATTGAAGTTATTATTATTATTATTATTATTATTATTAAAGAAAAAGAAAAGGGAAATAAAGCAAAAATAAAAATATAAAATATAAATTTATAGTCATTACACACTTTTTTACATATATATATAAATTATTCTGTTTGTAGATTGGCATAACTTATTTTAAAACTGTTATTTGCATTAAATCAATGGCTTCAATGCATGCCAAGCTTTTTTGAGGATTAGAAAAAAAAAAAAAATCGATTGACAACCTTATTTAGCTAAAAAATAAATAAAGTTATAACATTTAATATGTTATTTGATTATGAGACTAAAACACGCTAATTAGAATTAAAACCTAATAAGCTAATAACTGTTCAAAAATAACGGTTTGATTATCTAATTATAATAACTAGTTGTCACCAATGGTATTAATATTTTATAACTATTTATGTCATAAAAACCAATTGGATTTTTGCAATAAGATTCTTATTGATTAGTTTGTAACATTTTATGTTTTTTTTTTGAAATTCAAAAGTCAAGTTTAGTGACATACATAGCCATTAGCATATACATAGACAATTAAAAAAACATATTATTTTCTAAACTATTGTAATTTATTTTCCTAGAACTATTTATTTCATATTTAATAGTTCAAAAAAGAAAAATAACTTTCTTAGTAAAATTAAAGTTTTAGTATGTTTAATTATATTTTGGTTTAATTAATTTTGGTGGCTTTAAATAGTGAATATATGCTTAAAAGAACTTATAAGGACATTGAGTTAAACTAAATCTATAAATCTAAGTTGCTGATATTGTTATTAAGTTCAAAGTCTTAAATATTATTGCAGATTGGTATTTTAAATATTTAATAATTATATATGAAAAATGAAAATTCCATTTTTCTTCAAAATATTTTTTAATCTTTAAAATTCTTTTAAAATATTTCTAATAGACTTTAAATAGTTTTTTTAGGAAATGAGACTTATTTAGGAGTTTTTTCAACAAAGATACTTTTATTAGTTTGATTAAAAATTATTATTAGAGAGCTTTTTATTAATTTTTTTCTAAAAAATTATACTTTGTTTAAAAGAAAAAAAAATATACATATATATATATATATATATATATATATAATGTTATATTAAAATTTAATTTTTAAGTTATTTAAACTTCCAACTTTGCAAATAGTATATATGTAAAGAATTGTAAATAGTATTTATTTATGTTTCTAACAAAATACAAATAGAAACATGTTTGGTAGCTTCTCAACTATTGTTACATTTTTTACATTTTTTTGTTAACTTTTTTTTTCTTAAATGTCCTTTTTAAACTTCATTTGTATGTTGATTTACAAGCCTACTTATAATTTGACATATCCATCTTGTTTTAGTTTATTAATTCCTCACTTTTATTTGTTAAACAACTCTCACATCAAATAATTAAAGTTTTGTAGAAAAATGAATTTTCCGAAAGAGTAGAAACTTCCAAACAAAGAACAAGGAACCATTGGCCAAAATTCAGATCCCACAACACTTCCAAATATTGTGAACCAAACCGGATGTGCCAAAACACAAGAACGCATTTCACTGGTTCAAGTTCCGAGAATTAGGGCTTGGTCTCAACAATGTAGACCTAGTTTTGGTCATATTCGTCGTAGTGTTGTCACGGCCGACCTACGGTACCCGATGGCCGCCTCCCGGTCGCCGCATCCATCGTTTCCAGGATGGATTTGCATGCTCAGTGGAAATGCGTGAAGTCGATTGATGATGGAGCTTGAAGAGCTTTCGCCGCCCTTGTCATCAATTTTGTTGCTTAATTTTTTTCCTTCTTCCTCACCATCGTTTTTGCGTTGGTAGTCTCTCAAGCATCAATTGGATTTGCGTGGCGATTTCTCACCCATGGCGGCTGTTGCGGACCAAGAGCTTGCGGAGTATCTGCAGAATAGCCATAACTTGTCCGTCTCGGTCTCCCCCGCTAAGGGCCGTTGCTTGATCGCCAACCGCGCCTTTCATCGCGGTAGCAGCTTCTACTCTTGCTCCCTTTTTCCCTTGAGCTTCCCTCGCATTCGAATTCGGGTGCTCTGGTCATTTTTAGTTCAAGTGCAATTCTCTGAATGTGGTTGTGGCAGGTGAGGTGATCCTTCAGCAAGAGCCCTATGTTTGTGCCTTGGATGATTCGAGCCAAGCCCTCCGTTGCGATCGCTGTTATCGCCAGTCCTCCAATCTCAAGCGATGCAGCGCGTGCAAGACTGTCTTCTATTGCTGTGCCAATTGCCAGGTGCTGCTCTATTGCCCCGCCTTCTTTCCGTCAATTTTTAATTTCTTCTGCTTCTAGCCTGTGATCCTGCTGTATTCTTGTTGTTTCCTCTATAAATAATGTTTCCTATTCCGATTTCTTGCAATTTCTTTAAGGCTGCGACGTTTCTGTTTTCTTAGAGAAGCGGATGGGGTCTTCACAAATTCGAATGCGCTATATTAGTGAGGCTTCTGAAGGAAAAGAAGCGGAGTCCTACCCCGAGTTTGCGTTTAGTGATGCGGTTTTTGATCAAGCGAAGGTTACAAGCAGAGAGGGTGAGCGTGTCAATGTTGTCTTGGCCTACTCTCGACCCGCGATCCATTTTTTTCTGTTCAATGTTTCCGCTCGATCTGACCGTGCATTTCTGTTCCATTAGTAGGTTCAGTTGAAGGCAGCTGTGGATAATTATGATGTCTGTGAGGTTTTGCCCACACGTATCCTTTTGCATTGCATTCTGTGCCTCGGAACAATGCTTGCATCATTTCTCCATCCGTGTAAGCAACAATCTGGGTTCAGGGTTTATAGTTTAAATGTAAAACCTTTACTTACCGTGAAGACATGTCCGAGACAAGCGAAGATCGTTTAGTGATGTATGCGCAGATGGCTAGCATAGTGCAACAAATGATGGCTCCAGACGAGGTGAATGTGAAAGAGGTTACGCAAATGATTTGTAGGGTAAGCGGCTCTACTTTTCCCTAAGAGAGCAATTGCTGGTTTCATTTTTTGAAAATTTAAAAGTTATCCGCGTCGTATTAATGAAACGCACTTATTTGCCCATATTCAGAATTAATTTCCTTCTGACTTAGTTGTCATGTGGTATGCGGCACAGTTCGCTTGCAATGCTCATACAATTTGCGATGAGGAAGTGAGGCCTTTGGGTACAGGGCTCTATCCTGTCATATCAATTGTCAATCACAGGTTCGGTTAGTGAGGCTATTCTTTGTTGTAAAGATTGCCTCCGAAAATCTACCACATGCTATATATATATATGCTTGGGTTTAAGGTTTAGGGGTTTTAGTCATTTGTTATGCAGAGTACATTACACTAGAAGTTGGTTCGATGTACGAGGAACTGCATAATGGTTTTGATTGTTGGATAGTTGTTTGTCTCCTGTCCAGCTGTGTTCCGAATGCGGTACTTCATTTTGATGGAAATCGTGCTGCGCTTCGTGCATTAGAAGACACTCAAGAAGGGACTGAGGTAAGGTTTTATGGTTTTGTTGCATGCGTATATCAACATACATTGAAATTTTCTTCTTTGCAATTGCAGTGTCTTGAGTGACGATTTTGGCATTGATTTCCTTGCTAATTTTGCCCAGTCCTGTATCACGTCAGAGTGTTTTAAGAGAACCAGACCATGAACTGCACTTACGACTTAGATTTAATTGAAAGAATGAAGGATTATTTTCTACTTGCCTGCTCCAGTGACACTCATGGTATTCATAACGACTTCTGCTGGACAGATTACCATCAGTTATGTGGAATTAGCAGCCAGTACAAATACCCGACGAAAGGCTCTCAGGGACCAGTATTATTTTGATTGTAATTGCATCCGCTGTAGTCGATTGGTATGAATCGAGATGATCCTTTTGCTCCATCTTTGCGAGAACTTTATTACATCTGATATCAACACAGGACTTGTGGTAATCAATCAGTGATATGTACACCAGTTTTGTTATGTTGTATTGTAGTTTCTACATTGGATAGTTCTTGCACGTTTATTTGATCTAACATCGCATCCCTGTCGATGAGGGTAAGGTTTTGTTTTAATTGTGTTTTTAATTGCACGCTGTTATTTGCCGATACAAGTGAATTGAGCACTCTTTTGAAGTGGTAACAATATAGTGGTTATTCATAATTTAGGTAACGCGTGAAGGGTCCAGGGAGGATGCGTTTCTTGAAGGATATGGTTGTGTTAATTCAGATTGCAATGGACCGTTGATTGAAGATCCAGGTTAATCGTGTCTAAAATCTCCAAGATGTTCAATGCAATTTCTGGCCTTTTAATCCTTTCTTCTTTAGTGCCTTATCATCTGAATATTTGTGGCTACAGGGAGCGATAAAGTTATTTGTGAGGTTTGCGGATTAAAACGTGAAGTGCAACAGACCAAGTCTGCTGCCAAGGAAGTCGAATTGGACGTATTGGAAGCATCCAATCTGTATGCAGCTGGCAGTATCCCTCATTGATCGAATGCTTTCTCAACGCTTGAAACAACTGATTTGTGCGTGTTATTTCTAGCTATAAACTTGGAGAATTCCTCATGATCATACATTTTTTTGTCCATTATCCTTTTTGTTTTAGAAAAAAATTAAAGATAAAAAATGTAATTTTATATTGAAAGAACGTATTAAATTTTTACTTAAATTTGTTTTGAAAGTAAACGATGATATATTTTTTGAGGCCTTAATTTGAAAGAGCTTGAGAGTGCGCGGAGGCTGTATAGCGAGGTGGAAGCTAAGCAGAGGAAGTTGTGGCATCCATATTCTGTTCCTTTGCTACGAACACATGATGCCCTTTTAAAGGTTGGTCGTATGCTGTTTAATAAAGCTTTTGAATGTTCAACCCCTCTGATTTCCTCTTACGGTTTCTGAAAAATTAAACATGAACAGATATGCATGGATATGGAAGACTGGGCATCAGCGTTGGAATTTTGCCAGAGTACCATTCCAGCTTATGAACGTAAGTTTCCTTGTTCTACATAAATATTGACAAATTCAAGAAGCATTTATTATGTAACATCTGCACAGACTATCTTGTTTTAGTTAACTGATTTGAATCTGGACTTTTGTGGGTGAAACAGGAGCGTATCCTCCATTCTCTCCACTTCTAGGACTTCAGTATTTCACTCTTGGAAAGCTCCAATGGTAAGGCACTCGATTTTGGGTTGTCTTGTTTGACGTCTTCGGCATTTTGAAGCAATGCACGTGCCTGAACAAATATCCTGATGGTACATGCAGGCTTCTAGGCGACTCAGCTAAGGCAGTTAATACGTTAAGGAAGGCATATACTGTCATTCAAGTAACTCATGGGTCAAAATCTGAGCTTCTTCACGGCCTCACTTCTACCCTGCAAGAGGCTCAAGCAGAAGTTGCATACAAACGCTCTCTGATTAACCAGACACATTGAGCATAGAGTTGAAACATTCCTTGTGGAGTTTGCACATGTTTCTCGGGAACGTTTGTGGAACGTTTGCGAACATTCGAAGTTGCAACTTAGAAGCTTATTGATCAGAACATTCCGCACTGTTCGAGTTTTGACAAAGAGTACAGCCTTTTGGCTAAGTGGCTTTTGCCAACTCAATGGCAACGGTAGCTTTTCCATGCATTTGTCACTGTGTTTGATGGTTTGGCTGTGGCTCTCAATTCATGAATCCACTTGGAACGTATTTCAGTAGCAAATACCTAGAAACGCTGGTTGCACCGGCTGAAGTATCTGATCATGCTGTGAGCAGCGCCGAGACACGTGACATGCTTTAGGCTATTGCATACTCGTTCAGGCAAATTGTTACTAGAAAGCATCACCTTGGTCAGACATAGAATCGGCGTTGTAAGTGCAACAGGGTGTAAGAAGAATCGAAGACGAGGCAATAGAGACGCCATTACATTTACAGTAAGGAATTTTGCAACGTTGAGGAAACTGTGGACGGAGCTGCTGCCTATTTCAAAGTCCCCATGGACGTAGACTGCATTGCCCAGTTGAGAGTACATGAACTGAACGTGTCTGAACTGGAAATGAAATACAGAGGTGGAATCGCAACCAAGCAGCTCAGGATGTGCTATACAAAAATTATGCGACTCGGGTAGTTCCGGCTCCGTCGCAAACATCGCAATCAATGGCGCCTGTGCCTTCACAGTAAGGGCATTTTGCACCTTCCTCCACCCAGTCCAGAAACTGATCCTCCACATTCAATTCTCCAGTGCCCTCACATTCGCTGCACATGGTTACGCCTTCTCCCTTGCAGGAGAAGCACTTCTCTGTGTGCACAGCCTTCTGCCCTGCCCGTGGTGATACTGACGACGCTCCATTTGTCTTCGGTTTCCTGAGGCTGCTCGGTTCCTCCCACCGGTTCTCACCCAGCAAAAAGACCCTGCGATTGGAGGCAATATTCTCGTCCCGAGTGTTTTCAATGTCCCTTTTCTCCTCCGCAAACGATCTCTTCGTTCCTGTGTTGCTTCCTGTTGAGGTAGCACCAGTGGCTTTCTGTGAATTTGATACTGATTGTCGTGAGGGGACTTCTTTCGAAGATTTCGCATTTGTTTGTGTCTTACTCAACAGCATGGCCAACAGTTCTGGAGACAAGACTCCGTCCTCTCTAACACCAATTGACGCCTGCCAAGTTTTCACGGCCGTTTCTGTGCCGTCTGCGAACATAGAGTATTCTATATCCTCTTCCCCTGAATAAAACCCTAGCTCTTGCAAAGCTTCTTGCAATTCTTTTACCTCATCTCCTTCCGCACCTTTCCTCATCTCCCGCAGCATTACCTCAGTCTGCGCCGTTGCAACTTTGGCGGGTGCTACTTCACTTATTAGATCAATTGAAAACTCGGACATCGAAGGTATAGAAGGAGAGGAAGAGAAGTTGCTAGACGTATTCCCTGTGGAGCCATACTTCAGGCTGCTGCTGGAACGATCCGAGATAGACACAGGTGATTCAAATTCCTCCAATTCCTCCAATTCCTCCAATTCCTCCATAAATTCAATATTAGGTCTTGGTTCCGGGGGCAATGATTGAATCAGCTGCTTCAAATTGGCGATGACGGAGGGAAGTGTTGCAGTACCAGTGGAAAACTCCCGACGTTCCTGCACTTGGGCACGCAGCTGCTCCAACTCACGCTTCAGCAGGTCTAATTCATCCGCCATGAGTCGCCGCTCTGCAAGCCAGCGCGCTTCCTCTCGCAGCCAGCGTTGTTCCTCGCGCAACCAGCGCTGTTCCTCTCGAAGCCATCGGTCCTCCTCGTTCAAGCTCGCAGAGAGCCGGAAAGAGGGACGGGACCGCAACCCAGGATCGGAGAAGTGGAAGGGCGTAGGGCGGCAAGAGAGTAAAACCACTGGCTGATGCTGTGGAAGCGCAGGCCACGAGCGGAGAGACGATAGTTGCATTGCCGTCTGCGATTCCATGGCCTCTCTTCTCCCTCAGCCCACTACAATGCAGTGGTCTCCCTACTCACAAACTACTACTGGAAAGATTGCTTAGCTTGCTGTTCACATCAACAACGGAAGTGATGCTAGGGGAGCAGGCAGATGGCCCTTGTGCAGGATTCTATCCAACCTGGCCAATTTACGTCGAAAGTGATGCACTATCCCGAGATTAAGTTTGGACCCACAACTCTTTCGTATTTGTCGTGATGCTCATCATCCAGTTACCTTGTGATATCATCACCGCGTCGCTTCTTTCCATTCCACACTAGATGAACTGAATTCCACTCCCGGATTCTCAACTTTGCAGTGCTTCCTGTCCTCTCATTCACAATAATTATGCTACTATCATCTGGAAGGGCTAACCGAATCATCCTGTGATTGAGATTCTTTGGTGTTGCGTGATCATTTTCGACAATTTCGCCTGTAGATTATGAGGATTAAAATGATGAGTTTAGACGCGACTGCTTAACAAGTCAAATTTGGAAATTTGGGGATGAGGCTCGGCTATAATCCACAGTTCAAAAGCAGGGACGCCTAAGCCTACAAATTGCACAGGGAGAAATCGTAAAACAACTCCTTAACGCAAGTAGCTCAGTGACCCAGAACCACTATGCTTACTTTCAGTCATTAAGTCTAGGTAGTTGTAAGGACAGGGTTTCCTACAATTCATTCTTTCACTTCATACAATGGGAGGATAACGCAATAGGAGGGTTCCAATCAAGCAGGAACAATGTAGACATAATCCACACTTCAGAACACTATTTACCAAATAACAAAACGTCATATGAAACCAATAGACTGACATCTGTACACACAGAATGTCAGGACCATTCAATACAGCACATGACGAGAGGTACTCGAGTAAAGGTACTCTATGTTCGCATAAATGACAAGGAATATGAATGAAACAAAAGCTCAACCTTGAGGCAAGTTCAAGTGCTATAAAAACTAGCCAAAATCCCCCTCAATGCTACATTCCTATGTCCGCACATGTACAACTCAGGATATATGCATATCGCTGTTTGTAATTTTGCTACTGGAGGTACACGTGTCTGAAGTGTCTGAACGCAAACTGCACTGATCACCTGGGTGCACTCCTTATGGGGAGTAACAGTGTGTCTTCTGGGCAACAAAACCTTCGAGTTAATGAACTGATTTAACTTCATAGAGGTGGAGGACACCACAATTTCACTCTCTTATCCGAGCTAGCTGTTGCCAAGATGAGGGACTTCCCACTTTCTGGAAACAACACTTCCCACATATTAGCACCTAACTTACCATCTAGAAACGGATTCAGACAAATTTATGGCAATAGCAATGAACTAGAGTAAATGAAGCTCGACTTGCAACACATACTTGAGGTAACTAGCATATATCCCACATCCTAATTGAACTGATAACTCATCACCCGCCTGCATAGTGAAGGGAAATATTTCCTGCTTCTATTGCAGGATTGAAGGTACACTAATCAGAAATGGAGCATGATTTAACGAACTTAAAAGAAGGTTCCGCGAGTGACCATGAAAAACATTTAAAATGCTCCTTCCTAACCCCAGGCAGAAGCAAGAAAAAAGGGCACACATTTAAGGAAAGCAATACATTTGGATACCGTTACAGATAATACATGCTCTAATCAACAATATAGACTTCTGAATAGGAATCACATGAATGCATTACCTGTGGGGAGTGGTTGTGGAGCCCACACTAGGCATGTAATATTTTCTGTACAAACAACAAGCAATTGACAAACACAATTTAGAAACTGAGACATGATGTCGGACGTCAAATTCATATAGTCACTTCATGATTTGGAGTCCTCATCTAGGAATTTGCAGAAATAAAAGGAACAATATGCAAGTACTTGATTCTGACTTGCCATAAATCACCACAGGAGAAGGGACACGCACCATCATGAGCATTTTCAGCAGTGTCCAAAATCTCGCCAGTCTCAGTGCGCAACCATTGCAGCGTGGTGCCATAAGTGACAGCCAAAATCTGGTTGTCAGGTGATACAGCAAGTCTATCATAAAGTACTGGGTTGCCCTTTGAATCTAGAGTCGGAATTTTGAATACTTTGATACATTTGGGGTCTTCATCCATGTGGTATCTAACTGTCCAGCATGACATAATAACATGAGAATTAGAGGACAAGTCAAACTGGAAGAGCTGCTACATTCTTATTCAAAGGTGCAGAAAATTACTCAAGGCACAACCAAGTAGAGAATATAATTTAAAGAATCTACACAAACATTCAGTGAACTGCACGAAATGATACTCAAGGTTAATTCAAGATTACCATTGATATTCCATATCCTGATCGAGCCATCCTTCGATGCAGTAATTATTCTTTCCGAATCCCATGTAAAATCTAGCCAAGTAACTGCACTCTGTGGATTCGCAACAATAAAGACAAAGTGGGTAACTGTAAGCATGTATACAGCACGTTGTCTCGCAGTCCACACAAACATGACTATCGTGAGAAATCCCTTCTAATGCTCACAGCTTCCAAACCACCATGACAGTGAAACGGTTTCAAATGCCATTTGCTACACCCTCTTCTTTATCAACCATAAACTTTACATGCACTAGGATGTATGCGCTTTCGTCCACCTCTTTTGCACTTGTGTGTGCTTGAAGATTGATCCGAGCCATTTGCCTCTAACTCATGCCTAAAACATGATCATTCGTACTCAACGCGTACTCTCGACTTTTCAAATATAGAATTCAAATTCACGACGAATTGCACTAAAATCTCAAACCTTTGAACCATCATACAACAAAGAGATCTTTTAAGAACTATGGAAAACCCAGAGATTGCAGCATCCTCGTATGAAACAAGGTTCATAATACTCGGTCATGGGGTTGAGTAACGACAGTGAACACAATTCTGCGATCTGAAATGATCTCGAATGCATAGATGCCAAGTTTGAGATTGACTGACCTTGTGACCCTTAAGTTGCATAACCTTCGGAACTTCTTTCACTTGATTATCCTTGCCATACACAACTTCCCAGATCTGGAGCAAAACCACTACTGTTTGTGAGATACCAAGCATGAGTGCACGTGATATAATCAGAAAGTTGTACCATACCAAAACACCAGAAATTACTTTAAAGAAATGAAAATTCACGGGCAATCAAAATGCAACCTCAGAAATAAAAAAATATCCATGACACAGTAGCAGAATGTATGCACATGACACGTAAAGCAAGCTGCAACACCTTAACGTCTGCAGTGAAGGCTGCCGCTGCCAAGAAACGTCCATTAGGTGACAGAGTAGCCATGGTATTTTTCAGCTGGTTGGTGTCCACTGTGCCTAGACACTTGCCCGTGTCTGCTGTCCATAACTTGATATCCGTACCTGCAAACATGAACTAGTAAATAACTGATAATTGATTGTACCTTTGAACTAGATCACTGTGAACCAGTGACGACGAAATATAACGTTGCCTTTGCAGATAAATGCAGAATGCAAAAGTAAATGACGAACATGATGCATGTAGCCCAGAAGCTAAAGAATTTATTCGTTCAAACTAAAGACCTCCGGTCTTACACAACAAACCTCCGAGAGAAAGACCGATTGACTGTGAGAAACTACACCTTCAGAGGACGAGGCCAATATGACTCCTCCATTTCCACTTCCAAAAGTGGCGGGGGAGCTAACAAGGGAAACAAGGCCCTTTTTGTCATGAACGTTCTTCAGCTCCCACTTCATCTCCGGTTGAGCGGGTTTTCCTTGCTCCTTAGCAGCAGTTGCTGCCTCGCTGCTAGCCGAAGAGTACATACATAGCCCTGTGCCTGACAGACCCCCCAGCCACGTTCTCTTAGCACAACAACTACCTTGATGTGATATAGACAATGGCTGAAGATTTATTTTTTAATTAAGTTTCAGTGACCCACTCCTATCCATTTCACGCTAAACCGTGCCAGGACATATCCTAAAAACTCAAGATGCTAAAATTTGTACGAGCTTGCCATCAAACGAAAGAGTTCGACCTAAAACTAAGACAGTTGTGTAAATAGGATTGCAATCATCAGAAAATACACATATCGAAGGTCTGAAACCTATTTGCCTACAAAATGCTTGTAGAGGGTGATCAATGTGCATCAGACTTAGCTACCTGACATGCCTTCAGTTGCGATCACCAGTTGACTTGATCCGTGTCCAAAAGTTATTTTCGTAGGGCAATTACTCCCACTTGGAAGATTTAAGCGTAGAAATCTGTAAAATACGCAGATGATCAATCAAAATCCTTATGACCAGCGCAGGCACAACCCTGAAGAGAAATGTACGATAGTTTTTGAAATAGAGTAGAAATAACAAAGTAATAGATGGAGGCATACTTGAAACTTTTGGCAGAGATGTCATCCAGTTTGAAAACTCGTATGACTCTATCAGCACATGCTGCAATTTCAACTCCAAAATTTAGTCAAATGCACATTCGCCAGATGCACCTCAAATAAACAAAAACATACATTGCATGTACCAGAACAATTCCCCGCTGCGAGAGATAAGTACCGTAAGAAAAAAGAAAAAAGAAAATTTTGAATTGGAAAAGTAATGCAGCTACAACCCAATTTGGGAATTGGTTATCACTCAGTTCTTAAGCCCAACTCGATTCCGACAGAGTTTGACAAAGGCGAAGAACAGAAGATCGAGTCGAAAAATTTGAAGATTTACACCTGAAGCTATGCCTCGACCATTTGAAGAGAAGGCAATGCCAGTGACAGCGTCGGTATGGCCTTTCAACATATTGATCTCAAGGTGATGATGCCGTTGCGGATGCGCCTGCAAAAAACAGACAAGGTACGCGTCACAGTCCAGACACAATCCAGGAGAACTAAATTCCCAATTCCCCTACACCAGATCATCTGTAGACCTGGAGGCAAAGGATTGCATGTCACACTTGAACACATCCATATGCCGCATGAGGTGATCCAATACTAACAGGAAGGTGATGTAGTCGAATCAAAAACCCGAAGCCCTTCTAGAAGAACACAAACGACATTGAATACACACATACCTTCTTCGCGGCCAGAGAACGCTGCTTGGGGTTCGTCGATTTCTTCGCAGGTTGGGTAGCGAAATCAGTCGGAGAAGTAGCGTGAGCGGGCGACGACTCCGGCTTTGAAGCACGGCTGCGAAGAGCGAGAAGCACGAAGGTGAGTAAACCCAGGAAGACGGTGACGAGGGTCACCAGCAACGCAGGGGAGGAGGAGGAGGCGGCGGCATCCGCCATGGCTGATCGATTTGCTGCAATTGCAATGCCACGCCGAAGACGAAGACGACCCACAGCCGGGGCCAGACAGGGCCGGGCCGGGCCGGGCCGGACCTGGCCGAGCTTACATATGACCCGTGCCCCTCCCCGACTCGTGACGTCTCGTCCATGTTCCCTATCTGTTCCCTACCTGTTCCCCATTCCCCTTACCTCCTTCGTGTCACCCCCCATTACCCTCCTTCTTTGCCTCAAATTTTATAACGTTAAAACCAAGACTCAAATTTTATATAAATAAATTAGAAAGGAAGGTCATTCAGGATGCTGAATTATTTTTACTGGTAATTTTGATAAGGGAAAAGAAATTTTTAATTGTAATTAGAATGTAATAAAAAGTGCAATTAGTTTAGAATTTTGATTAATTGTGAAGGAAATTGTAGTATTTTATGTATTGATTCGTGAATTTTTTTTTATTCAACATATATCACATCATCTCATAGCTTTTTTTTTTTTTTTTTTTTTTTTTAATTTTCATACAGAATTGAAACCATTTTTATATTGAGACATCAATGTAAGAAGTAATTATGAAAAAAACACTTGTTTTGAATCTCTCTAAAACAGTGAAAGATATGGTATATATTTTTACTAATCTAATTTCTTTTTCTATATGGAAGTTATTTTGGCTAGATTCTCATCCACAATTTGATTAAAAACTGTAAATTAAATTTGAACGTATATAATTTTGCATGTGTAAATTATAATAAAAATAAAGTATAATACCATAGAAATAAGTTGATGTTTATTAGAATTCCATCTTATAAAAATTTTACTTATTGGTGTTTGTCTAGAAGACACAATCTAATTTGGACTGATTTGCTTTGCATTCTTGTATCAATTAATTATGTGATGCATATAATTTGAATGATGAGAAGTTAAAAAAATAAGTGTCTTTAAAATTTTTGGATGGATTTAGAATTAAAAACGAAAAATATGAGATTAAAAAAAATTAAACATTATTCTAATAGCTTATTCATCTTCAATTAAAATAATGATTATTTATCTATATTAAACCTATAATATTTTTATAAAAAATTTTTATATTACTTAAGTAAAGAAAAATAAATAGAAGTAGGTAGAAATATACTAAGTAGATATTATCTTCTATAATGCATATTAGATTTTTATATTTCTTTAGATATCCCAATGGATTTTTAGAACTTATGCTATATATTTTGTACTTTTAAGCAATTGCCTTAGAAGCAACTTACAACTTGATACTTAGGATGTAAACTTAATTATCCTTAAGAAGCTTCCAAAAGACTTTATTGGTAGCTAATATATATAGAAGCAAGAGAAGCTATATTTAATCTTGTCCATGCTTTCTTTGTATTAAGGTTTTGATTTTAAAATTTTATTTTATTTTATTTTATAACTATATTTATTTATTTTATTTCATCTTTTTATTGATAAAATAAAAATAAATATATATATTTTTTAATTTAAATTTCAACAATAATATATTTTGTAATCATATATTTCTTTTTAAAATAGTTTTATTATTTAGAAGATGCTTCTAATTTAATCAAAGATTATATAAATTATTGAAATATTAATTTTTTCATGTTTATATGTATTAAATTGTTGCCAAACTTATTAAATCATGAATTTGTCAAAAATTTTATTTAGTGTTATATATCACATATAAAAATAATAAGACTTAAGAGATGTATTATTTAGTTTCTCTTCTATCATATTAAAAGAAGGAAATCAAGAAAGACATGTTCTTTATTAAATAGATGTTAAGATAAAATACTTTTATTACTATAACTTTTAAAAGAAGTCTTAAAGTTTGATAATATCATTAGAGGTGGATATTATACATGATGGCATTTCAAAAAAATTATTTAAGAATAGTTTTGATTGCCTTGATAAATTTTATATTATAATTTTTTTATTTTTTATTTTTTTTATATTAAACACTATCAAAAGTTTAAAATAACTATTTATAAAAATATCAATTACAATAAAGTTTTTAAAATGACAATACACTCTTATATTACTAATTTAGAAAAATCAGACAATTAAAAGATAGATATAGAATTGAAATTAGAATGACTATTACTAAATACAAAAAAAATTAGGTGTCAAGGACAAAAGCTCAAAGATTGTAAATAAATAAGTAAGATAAAGTCTCAAATAGAGTTAAAAAAAAATAAATAAGAAAATATGTATATTTAAAAAGAAATTAGATTGACTATTCTCAAAGACTAAAAAACTAGAGACTCTTGAAACTAGACTAAAAGCAAGAAAAGAATTGACAGGAGTGAAGAAGGCTTCACTCTTGCCTCTATGTATATTCTTTAATAAGGAGATATGTAGCAATGTTTTTTAGGACCTTTAACATGTGTCTAACTTGCAAGATAAATTTTCTATATATGCACCACATGGCTAACTTATTGGCAAAGTTTTCAATCCAACAATCACCTAAAGACATAAAAAGTTATATCCATGTCTATGAAGCTTCTCCAAAAGATATTATATAATTTATCTACGTTTACTTATTTCTACATAATTCCTCTTATCTAAATAATTATTGGTGTGGATTATGCTGATAATACTAGAAAGTTTAAAACTAAGATAGAACACAAGAAAGACGTTGATAAAAGTGAGGAGGGCCTCATTTTGCCTCTACATATATTATCTATTAAAGAACTCCATGATAATGTCCTATGGGCTACATGACATGTATTAAACTTATGAGACATATATCCAATTTGTAACGCAAATTTCCAACATGTACGTCACATAGCTAATATGTAATACAAGTGGCTAAATATGTAGCCAACTTTTTGGCCAAGTTGTCAACCTTCCAATCACTTATAAATATGTGTAAAGTTTACAAAGCTTATAAGAAGCTTCTTAATAAGATATCAATAGTTTAATCTACTTTTACTTACTTCTATCTAATTATACTTATCTAAGTAAATATACTAGTAAATATGGTTATTTGTTACACCAATCAAGCACCATCAAAGTTTGTTACAAATATTATTTGACAAATTTTAATTTTTATCAACTTATGAAATGACTTAGAGTCTAATCACTCTTTCTAGAACTTATCTCTACCAAAGAATATTATGTTATGAATATCTAGATTATTCAAATAATCACAATATATAAATATATATATATATATATATATATAAAAGTAAAAATATGTAAAAATATTTTTGTTAGATGATATTGTCTTCAAGAATTATTAAAGAAGATTTTTAAACATAAATTTATAAGTATTTTTTAGTTGTGCCATGTAAACACAAAAACCTATTCTTAATAACCTCTTTCATCGGAAGTTATTGTAGAAGTCTCCTACATTTTAGGCACATAGTGTTAAAACAATTCATAATATCCAAACACCAACTTTCACTAATTCATATATAATACTAATCCAATACCATCACCTTGTTCCACACATACATATCCACATTTCCAAGAATTTTGTGGTGTAATCAAATCAAGCCTAAAGCCATTATCTCAGCTTTTGCAGACCTATTCCACCACTTCGATGACTCTAATCCAACACCCAGAGAAGCATCTTATCCTCCTAACAATGTATACACAGTAAACTCAAAAACAAAGTTATATTACCAGCAATGAAACAGAAGCAGATGCACGATGGAGACTCATGGTGTGATGAAGGTCACCTGTGAACACCCACTCCAGCAAATTCTAAATGCTTGGGCAAGGTCGGTGTCCACAGGACAATCCTTTAAGAAAAATCCGAAGCCTGATTCAATCTCGGTTTTCGTCTTTACTTGCGATTGTTTAGGTTGAATCGCAAACAGGATTCAATTGGGTTTCTATCAAAATCGAACTTTTGGCCCTTTGTTTTTGTTTTTGTTTTTTTTTTGTTCCCTCTGCTCTAGGTGCGTTTCCTGATGTCTTCGTTGTGTTGTTAATGTAATGGATTTTAGGGGTAATTTGGTGTAGAAATGCGTTTTAGGGTTTCACGTCTGGAGTTTGCTTGTTGCAGGAGCTAGAGAGATGGTTGGGTCGAATTGAGGTTGAATGATAAGATCGGTGCGTCTTAAACTAGCGTTCATTGTGTGGACTGTTGGTAGGAGCCGGTAGAAATGGCCCGATACGATAGAGCCATCACCGTGTTCTCGCCGGATGGGCATCTCTTTCAAGTGGAGTATGCTTTGGAAGCCGTCAGAAAGGGAAACGCAGCAGTCGGTGTGCGAGGTACAGACACCATCGTGTTGGGAGTGGAGAAGAAATCTACTGCTAAGTTGCAAGATGCTCGGTAAGGCTTTTCTTGCATCATGGTGCATTTGTTGATGCTTATGGATGAATCGGGCGATTTAGGAGATCTAGGTAGACACATTTAGGTCTTAATTTTGAATTCCTCGATGCTCAAAATTGGAGGAGGGTTGTAGATATGTTGGATTTTGCATCTTGGTTATTTGAATCTGTGGGTTGTGGTTGCGTGGATTAAGGAGAGAGTGGTAATTCTCTATCGACGATGGTAAGGTTTTTGTTGCCGAAACTTGTAGCGCGGAAGTTCTCCACTGATTTTATTGTATAGAGGGATTGAGTTAGAGAGTACCGAAGAAGTTCCCGTAAGATCGTCATCCAGCAATTTCTTGCGGGTGTTGCCACATTAACCAAATAATTATATACGATGTTTTGATAGAGCAATCTGACTCACAAAGAGGATTATCCCTTTGCAGCACCGTGCGGAAGATTTTGAAGTTAGACGAGCACGTATCACTCGCCTTCGCCGGTCTCACCGCCGATGCTCGTGTTCTCGTCAACCGTGCTCGAATTGAGTGCCAAAGCCATCGACTTACAGTAGAAGATCCTGTGACTGTCGAGTATATCACTCGCTTCATCGCCGGCTTGCAGCAAAAGTACACTCAGAGTGGTGGAGTTCGCCCCTTCGGTATTTCCACTCTCATCGTCGGCTTCGACCCTTACACAGGCGTACCTGCCCTCTACCAAACCGACCCTTCTGGAACCTTTTCAGCTTGGAAAGCCAATGCTACTGGCCGTAACTCGAACTCGGTACGTGAATTCCTGGAAAAGAATTACACTGAGACATCAGGCGCTGAGACTGTCAAACTAGCTGTCCGAGCACTTCTTGAGGTAAATCAACGGCTGTATTATATTTTATTTCTCTCTTTCGTATTGGTAGAAACTGTGCATGCAGTTTGATATGAGGGAGTCTGGACCTTCATTTTTTGAGTACCCTTACGTGTTAAGTTTTGGGGATTGATTTTGAAGGTTTTTTTAAGTGAAAAAGTCTAATAATGTATAATTGCAAATTCTCGTTACTTGTAGTTTAGTGCGGGGTAGTCTGTCTAAATAGATTCCTTTCTGGGTTTCAGAGGCTACGTGACTACTGCATACTCAGGGGCAGAGGACACATTAGTAAATAATGGTTGTAAGGGGACGGTTTGTCATTTTGAAACTGAAGTTATATGCTGTTGTGTGGTTTCGTAGGTAGTTGAGAGTGGTGGTAAAAACATTGAAATAGCAGTAATGACCAAGAACGAAGGTTTGCGATTGCTGGATGAGGCAGAAGTTGAGGAGATTGTGGCTGGTATAGAAGCTGAGAAGGCTGCTGTGGAAGCAGCTAAGAAGGGTCCTCCTCGTGATCAGTAGGCTTCAGACGGTTGGTGGATTCGGGGGTTATTCGCTAGGGTGACGGACAGGTGAATGATGATCCATGTAAAATTGTAAAGCATTTTGCCGGAACTAATTCAGTCGGACGACGAGCTCCTTCTTGGTTATTGTGAGATGCAAATGCTGGTTTATGACAAAATTGACCGCTCATGCAACGGCAAGGAATAACGAAATCATTATCACAAAACGTTTCATGATGAATGTACCTGGATTTGCACATGCTAACAAAGCAGAAAATATTCAGTCAGAAGGCCAGGTTAACTTCGTCAGGCAATGTAACAAAAGTTGTGAGATTAGCTGTTGCAACATTGCAAGAGAATGATCGACAAATGTTCGTAAAATCAATGACTACAATCTCTGTACAACATCCACGTGTACTCATGTAATGCCTTAAATGTGGGTTGAGTAGCCAAGTCCTTGTTTTCCACGGCAAGAGAAAATCGAAATCGCAATCAGAACGCAGAATACCATCGCGATTTTGCATCCTTGAGACATTTCAAATATGGTATATCTTCGTTGTTAATGATGGAGAAGGAAATCAGTTATGTAGGGTTGTATCATCTGTATGAGCTAACGCTGACCTCAAGAACGAGACGAAGCAGAGGTGTGTGGCAAAATGCTCAAATGAATTGATCTGGCCTTTCAGATACCCCATCCACCAGAAAGTATTCATGTCGTTACAGCGTAGAAATTGACTCCTCCTAGTTGCTCATGAGTGAACAAAAAGCAAAGAGATTGTCAACAGCGGAGAGCACACAGCACCAAACCAACACCAAAAAGCATTAAGAAAGCTAAATTTGATTGAACCGCACGATCGAACCTGTGCCGACGAGGAGAACTCAGATTTCAATCCGGACCGAGATTTATAGCAAATGGGGCAATTGTCGCATCAAAACATTTTAATAAATTCTAAACCCTTAACCCTATCTAATTGCTCATTTAACAAACTCTAAATATTCAATTCTGCACCTCTGTAAACATGCATGGATGACGAACGGATGAAGAAAAAAAGATCAGAGTGCGAACTGCGTACTTAATCTGCGAAATCGCATCACAAGGATCTTAAACTTTGAGCGGAAGATTGGCCATCCTTTCCCGACGGAACATCGAGAATTGCGGAGGAACAGCACTTTTCTGGCACGATTGCGATAATTGCGCCAATGCATTTTCCAATCCATTAGAAAAGTGGAGCATTAGGGAAGTGGCGCATGTTAAATAGGCAGAAGAAACTGATCGATCGACAAACAGGACCTTATTAAAGTCATCACCATCTGCGACATTCAGGAATCCACCACCGTCCCTGCAACGACGATGATGCTAGCAGCAAACTGATGTCGGGGTGAGAATGCGAAGCAATTAAGAGGATGAAGCAGCACTTTCACTTATTCGATACCAACAAGTACTGGAGATGAGAGGAGATAGAGTGAGCACATGCTGCTATAGCGGCTCAAATTCGGCATCTCCCCCCTCCAGATTTGCCGAAGCATTTTCCACGAGATCAAACAGTCGGACCTGGATGCAATACACGCAGTGCACAGTGCCTCCGACACTGACAGCATGGCGTGCAAGTCAAGCTTGGGCCACCGACACCAGGCCCATTCTGGAAGGAGAATGTCAGAGGAGAGTGGGCTTTTGTAGACTGTTTCATAAACAGAAAAGTATGGTCAACTAATTCTATGTTTTGCTCTTTTGCGGATACTAAACTGGAAACTTATCTTACAATTTATGGTTCAAAAGTTTTCTTGCTTAGTGGAGAAAAGGTCTTTTGAAAACTTTGCTTACTAAAGGGAGAGGATATATATATATATATATATATATATATATATATTTTGTTTCAATGTTAAATATAGAAAACATGTATAGATTGTGATGATTGTGACAAATAGAAAAAAAATATTCAATTTTGAAATTTTAATACATATTTTAGAGAGTTTTGTAATAGCTATCTTTTGAGGTGGGCCTAACACAATTTTTGAGCAACAATATTATTCATGTTATGCAAGAAGAAATGCATTCTATCCAATATTTAATTTTTCTAGTTTTTTTGGATAATTTTACTAGGTGGAAGGCCAGGTAAAGGAAGCATCTTGGTTTCAACTAACCACAAGTTTAAAAAACTGTGATTTATCTTATTTTTATTCTTAACTTAAAATTTTCTTCAAAAAAATCAATAAATATATATAATAAATGTAATTAATTATATATATATATATATATTCTTTCAAATTATCTAAATTAATTATTATAATCTTAGTTTTGTTGTACCTATGATCTAAGCAACCACCAAATTAGTATAAGATTCAATTTTTTTTATAAATTATATATATGTATATATGTATATTTGTAAAACGAAAAAAAAAAAATGTCATATGTGTCAAAGTGTAGCACTTGTTATTAATGTCAAATACTAAGTTACTATTTAATTTTTTATTTATTAAAAATACTTGGCTAATAGTTTTAGATTAATTCATAAAAGGATAAAAGCATGAAGAAATATAATGCAAATTAGATGCATACATACAAACAAACATATGCTATTTTAAATGTAAATATTAAAATAAATATATAAGACAACTTTGGTATAATATAAAGAGACACAAAAGCCTTCTAAATTGGCTATAAAGAAGGAAACTTAGAAAACTTGAAGAACATGGAGAAAAACATGGGAACAAAGGAACAAGAGAACATGGAAATTAGGAAACATGAGAATTGAGGAACATTGAAACTAGAAAATATAATAACTATGGAGTGTGAGAACAAATAAGCATAGATAAATAATAGAATAGATGGATGTGTTCAAGATTGTAGTGCCTAATGGCATGAGTTTTTGCTAGTATATCTATAATGCTTTTAGATTTGTCATTAACTATTTATCTTTAAAATTACCTATTCCTTCATTTATACTTTATATGTTTGGAATATGTTTATTTGTTAATAAAAAATTTATATTTTATTTATATATAAAATAAATCAACACTTATAATGTATGTATTATAATTTGTATATATGTGTATTTTTGCCAAATTAAAAAAAACAACTTTGCAAACAATATAATTTTATATAGACAATAATTTTATATAGACAAATGTACTATTTTGTTAAATAATATATTTAAAAAAATAAATTTAAAATCTTAAAGACTACAAATACATAATCTTATATATATTACTAATCATAAAAGATTGTGAAGGTTGCAAAACAAAAATGAATCACCTAAACAAAAGTTGTATTGTTTTTCTTTTTGAAAGTACCTAACAAATATCCAACCTACTTTGATTAAATTGCACGTGTGCCAATATAAGATGCTTTAATAATTATCAACAACATTAAGAAGAAATTATATATATATATATATATATATATATATATATATACTAAAATGACTGACCTATTTATTAAATCAATCCACCATATTGTAACCATTATTAGAAAAATGGATCATCTCCTGAAACCATCATTATAATCATAGCCCTCATCTCCACCTCGCTCTCTTCATTTCCAACCTTCTTCATCTTAATCCCCCTCCTGCCCTCCCACCTTGTTCCCTTTCCTCTATTCTCAACTCTCATCCCAACCCCCCTTGTTTGCCACGATAGGGTGGGCCGATTTAATAAACATGTAGGTTATTTTAACATTTTTCTATATGTAAATAAATTGTAGAAATAGCTGGAACAATCTCTCTTCAATTTAGTTATGTGCAATTAGTTTAACTGAATGGGGTTGTTACTCATACAAACATACTTTATATTACAAACAAGTTTGATAGTCGTTTGGAGTTTTTTCTAATTCTAGAATACTTGTTCATAGTAGAAAAGTGGAATTGCATATTCTATTCTCAACTCATGGAAGAGTTTACAATGAAATGGAAAATTCACTTGTTCATACAAAAATATACTCAATAAGTGAATGTATTTGTATTTTTAGACCTTTCACTCAAGTCAGTCGAAGGGAGACAAAACCCTAATTTTTTGAAAAAAGAGTGTATGGTGTGTCCTACCACAAATGGATGAAGTCACGTCAGATAGTAAATGAATAACTAGATAGTGAACAGAGGATGAAGAAAGGTACATTCATCAACGTGTGAATTCCTGGAGGCATGCAGAGGATGAGACGTCGCCTTCCGGCCATGAAACGTTGCGCCACATTACGTTCAAAGTGACGTGACCAGAAGCTTCACGGCATTTGCTCCCCAGCGCTCCTTTTGTGTGCACAACCCACGGTTCCCCAAGTTCTCTAAGTTCCCATCTCGACCCCACTCCCATCGAAACGCTCCCAAATCCTTTTTCCCACTAACCGCCGAGCGCACCGAATGCACGACTCGAGCACATGCATTGCCACGTCAGATTTACACACGTGGACTATTGGTGTGCCAACTGGACCGTCAGTGCTCTGAGATTGAGACCCATTGTTGATGAAGTGGCAAGTTGCGTGGATCCTTTCGGTGGGGACTGTCAACCTCAGTGGATGATGCCACCTCACCCATTTAGTCAGCCCCTGCTGGCAATGGTCCCCAGAGATGGATAGCTTCGTGGAAATTGAGCGTCACGGGCCACTAATATTGTCTGAACGAACTGGCGAAGGTCGCTTCGTTCAGGCTTTCTGCAGTCATAGTCAAGTGATGTGTACTGAAAATGAGTTTGTTGGATACATTTTCTTGGGGGGGGGGGGGGGATTGCGATTGTGTGCATGATGTGCATATAATTTACATAATTTTAACGAAACAGTACCGAACGGTGTGAAAGTGGAGAAGAAGAAGCAGAAGAAGAAGGGCGGCGTTAGGAAACCAGTTCTGAAGTTTGTTCGTTTGTTTTGTTTTTGTTTTCTGTTGCTGTTATTGTGGAGGATAAAGGTGACGAAGCAGATGGGGGTTGGGCAGGGGTTATAATTGCAAGTGGTGAAACAAGTGGTCTGGGTATTCGGGGTTTCGCTTTATTAAAACCAAAATTCTGTTTCTCACTCCTGGCTCCGCTGCTTGGCTGCGGCCATGTCATCTCTCTACACGTGGGATTTTGACGGGATTGCTTTTGCCGCAGACCGTCTTTCGTGGAGTATCGCCAGATTCGAATTCGGTTGCGTATCGACTTGAGGGATCTTAGGTTCGTGGTTTACATGGTATACTTTCCTTTTAGTAACTGGGAAATTTGGTGTCTCGGTCGGCGGAAGCTGAGTCAGAATGTTCTATCGTCCTTGGCTATCTTGTCCAGGTTTCTGTGCTCCCCTGCGAGTCATTTGCAACATGAACAGGCGCATGCGGAAGTTGTAGCTTTCGCGGGGTCGGAGTTTGAAGATTCATTTACTTGTTAGTATTTTATGTTTTCGGGTTCAGGGAGAATCTCGTATGGGACCCGATATCTAATTTTTGCTGGGCCTAGAGTTGGGGAGTGGGGTGTCGTTTGTGTACTATGTGTTTTTTGCTCAGATTTTCCGGAGATGTGTGGCAACTTGAGGACGGTGCCCAAGGGTTCGTTTAGTGATTCCCAATCTCTTTGTCCCTCCTGAGTTGAGGACGGTGCCCAAATTTGAAGGTTGTCAGTGTAGAGAGTTGGAAAGTTCTGAAGAGTGGCATTTAATTAGAAGGTGTGGCAAAAGTACAGAAGGAAGTATTGAAGCATCATGTCGTTTTTCTGCATCTTTTTATTTAGATTGTTTTCCTCCATGTTGTAAGATTTTATGTTACGGATATTAGTTTCTGGGGTCACACTGGGTTGACTAAGCGACATCAGATTTGAACCATAGGAAGGTGCGAAATTGACCAGGAGGTAATTGATGTAAGCACCCAATTGGGATTTTTGAATCGCAGTGGCCATGTCGGATCGTAGTATTTTGCAGCAAGTTTTGTTGCACTCAGATGGAAGTGGCGAAAGCAGTAGTGGGCTTACACCTCTTTCCCTCCAGAAGCTTGGTTCTGATCTTGAAACTCTCATACGCATACCTGATCAGGAGTACAGTGACCTCACAATTATCCTAGATGGAAAGCAAGTGCCAATTCACAGGTGCATATTGGCAGCTAGGTGTCCGGGTATACGAAAAGTTTTTTCCGAAATGGGGGTAACTGGGGGAAACCGTAAACTAGAATTAGAGTTCAGTACTATTGTTGAGGATGGGAAAATAGGCTACGATGCTTTTATGGCTGTCATGAGTTACGTTTACAGTGGGAAGATGGAGCTCTGGCTGACTGGCATTGCGTGTTATGATTCCACTTGCGTCCACATAACATGTCGACCAATTATTGACCACGTTTTGGAGGTTCTCCAGCTTTCGCTATTACTCAACCTACCAGAAGTGACAACCGTTGCTGAGGTATGTTATCTTTTAAATACAAGATTACTGCAAAAAAATTGTAGCTTAAGGGTTCCTTTCACTCGAAGAGATAGGCAGTATATTATCCATTCATTGTTATGTGGCATATGCCTCCTGTTAGCCCGATTATAAATTCTGATAAATTCCGAGACATATTGGCAGAACTTGGAATACCAGCTTTCTTTGTCTCAACCTTGTAAGGGTATCTGAATATTAATGATACGTTAACATTTTGCAGCAACATCTTATTGACCATCTAGAAAATTTTCAAGTGGATGATATGCTACACGTTTATCGATCAACAGCTATTTCCGAGTGTTCTGAGTTGAAATCAATGTACTTAACCGCATTAGCATCTTCTTCACTGGATAATCTAACAGCGGAGAAGGAGTTTTCTGGAGCAGCCCTGCAGCAAGTGAGAAGGTTTCCAAAGGAGTTAAGACCCGGCATGCTTCACCTGTCGGCGTCACAAGAAAAGCAACGTAAACGGATACACAGGCAACGATCTGGTCACTTCACAATTATCAAGCTTTATTGTAATCAGTTGCCTAGCTCGTTTGACGTTCGGAGCCTTCACGTTGGCCCCTCTGTGTCGTAGGACCCGCAGTTGCCACCATTTGTGAAGTCCTCTTCAAAACACAGTGAAATGATAGTATGTGTATTTGTATTCGTTTATCTTAAGCTTTTATTGCACGTCTGAAGAGTTTGTATTGAGAGAGAATCTTTTTTGAACAGGGCTTTAGATTCGGATGATATAGAATTGGTACAGCTGTTGCTAGATGAGGGGAAGTTAGATTTAAATGAAGCTTGCGGACTTCATTATGCTGCTGCTTACTGTCATCCTAGAACTTTGGCTCACTTGCTGGAGCTGGATATTGCAGGTAAAATGTGTTTTATAATTGACGTGAAAATTGGCTGCTATTTAATGATGCCTACAGAGAATTCCTTGCGCTTGCAATTTTGGGGGGGTTAAGTTGAGGATTCAGAAAGCAACTGTTTCATGCACTCATTTTGTGGTATATTATGCACGACAATGATAAACATGTCGGTATGTAGGACATTTATGTTAAAGTAAATTAACAACTTATGCTTTCTGCAGATGTAAACGTTCGAAATGAGAGGGGTATGACAGTTCTTCATGTAGCTGCTTGGCGGAGGGACCCGCTGGCAATTGCAAAACTTGTCGAGAAGGGTGCACAGTTGCAGGCTTTAACGTTGGATAATCAAACAGCTCTCGACATCTCGAAGAGGTTGACTAGGAAATTCAATTTGGTTGGGGAGGAGAATTTTAAAGACAGCCTCTGCGTAAGCATTCTGCAGCAGGCAGAACGCTCTGTGGCAGTTCCTAACGCTGCTGCCGCTATGCTAGAGCAACCGTGCACTGAGAAAGATCTTATGTCGAAGCTGCTTTATCTTGAGAATCGAGGTCAGTGTTTCTGCCTCGACGCTTTTGAAACGTTGTCTCTTCGTCAGCGATCAGGAAAATGCTGGAGTAACAAACAGAAACATGTATAGCAAGGTCTCATACACTGTGTACCACGTTGGGCACCTAATCTTTTACTTTATGTTTGCAGTGGCATTGGCGCGATTGCTGTATCCTCGGGAAGCAGATATTGTAATGGGTATCTCACATCTCGATTCGTATGCTACGTCCACTGAGATTCTTAGGAATTCTTCTGGATCAGAAATAACAAGTAGGAAGAGGAAATCGTCAGTAGAACTCAACGAAGAGCCAACGAAGAGGTTGGCAGGTTTAGTAGGTGTAACTGTTGCGGATCAATCTAAAGAAAATCGGTTGGAATCATTGATTCGGAGGTGTAAAACTCTGCAGAAGGCTGGTGAGTACTGTTCCTCACATTGTTTAGAGTTTCATTCCTTCAGAGGCTGTTATAAGTCTAACTTATCTTCTATGAAATTATCATTCCCTTTTTGCCTAAGGGATATGATATTCGCTAAGATGTAGTATTGAATGGACGATAGATTACTACTTTGGTGTTGGAATAGTAGTAAGAGTTGAAAATATTGAAATGGAGATAACATTTGCACGGTGTAGTGCTTAATCAACCTAAGTAATAGGAGTCTCATAGCACATTTTGCTTAAGTTGGATCTACGTAGTATTTTTTCTCTACGCAATGTGTTCTCTTTCCAAACATGTCTTTGTATCTAGCTAAAATTATCAGAGGTGATGCCAGGATTTAAGTGATCAAGTCTTCCAGAGACTGATGATCACTTCGCATTTAATGATTATACCTAGTTCTTTTGTAATCCTCATATGTGGAAGTATCCTTGTTTGCTTACGATGTTGCGTGTAATGTATGCAGCTGAAGTTGCACGCAAATACTTTCCATGCTATTCGGCAGTCATAGACAAATATGTGCTCGATGACGACTATGTTGAGCCTGATGAAGATTGCAGTGTTGAGGACCAGCTTGTGAAAAAGAAGCATTTTGCAGAACTTAAGGGTATATTACAGGATTGTTTCTCGAAAGGCAAGGTTGAGGAGATCAAGAAGGCAAAAAAGCCAATCGAAAAGCCGATTGAAGAGCAAAGAAATCCTCGTACACCAAATCTTCCTTCTTCATCTTCGTCCACATCTTCTAGAGGTACGAGCGGTAGTATGATTTCGAAGGTTTAGTCAATCGTGTAGGCGAGATTCCGTTTCAATATTTTTGCGAATACTACAGTGGCTTATCTCACTGGAGGCAACTGAAGGATTGGAGATATGAAGTACCGACCGAGGAAATATAGTGCTGATCTTTAGGGACCTTCCATGTCACGAACTGCAGTGCTTGGGAAAAAGTTTGGGCTAGAGGGTGTGGAGTCAAAAAGATTCTGGTACATTAATCAACCATAGCGTAGTGGCATCTTTTTTTTGCACCTAGGTGAGATTTCCAGAGGTATTAAGCATGTACAATGAATGGCAATTGTCAGATGTAATATATCAGTGGAACTGGTTCTCCATTTGAGAGGGATAATTTGACCACCTTTAAACTCGGATGTTTCATATTCTGATAACTTGTTATATGAAGTATAATTGAGGATTCCTCATTAGTTGTAGAAGACTTGGTGCAACTTGGTCTTGGGCCTAAAAGTCTTCCTTCGAAGATTATTACAAACGGAAGGTTAGGTCCCTTTTTCGACTCTATTTGATGTCTGAAAGATGCTTCAGTAGAGCTCCGACCGTAGATATTTCTGTTTTGTGCTTTACTGCTTGAACCCAGGAATAAACGTGAGTCAGATTCTGGTACTCAGCAGTCACTTTTAGGGAAACACAAGTCGTGTTGTTTGAATTAGCACGTGCATGGTGTCGGTTGTAACTGGGAAACCTTAGTTCGACATGTCAAGATTGCAGTTTGCTCCACGATTGATTATTGTATTATTTCGCGTGTTGCTAGTCCTGTGCAAGGCAGAAGACAATCATTGGCAAGATTTCGCGAACAGTGAGTAGCAGGCATTTTCGCGAACAGTGAGTAGCAATCATTTGGTGACCTGTCTCAAATTTTCTCAAGTAATAGCATCGTTGCGGATTTCACTAATAAGTTCGCGAACAAGTGAGCTTTTGATGTTTAGGTAATGATTAATCACATTAAGAATGTTGCCTGCAAATTCCTTTAGCAGCGTTCACTTCCTGTTGTGGAGCGGAGAATTTGTCATGAATCGCGTTCCTCAAATCTTCCATCAGAAGGAAACTCGAAGTATATTGTACATACCCCACTGCACTCTGTATGATTCAAGAACTTCTTACCTGCATATATCCTCATATGGGACACGGACGCCTAACTATATAGATTTTCATTTCCTTCTTTATTTCGAATGGCATTGCTGCAGTAAGTATTTGAACCGTTTCTGGACACTAGATCACGTCTCCACATGCTGGAGTGAGGTGTTCAAATTCTCCTTGAATGAATGTAGTTCATTCGTAGAGAGACTCCACACTTGAATAAGGTTGACTTTTAGAATTCCGTTTTGGAAAACCCTTCCTGTAAATGCAGGTCTGTTAGCAGCTGGAGAGGCATCAGAAAGAGTAAGCAGAATATAGCTAATGCCTGCATTTCCTGGGCTACTTCCATCTATTGTGGCAGTGAAAGTTGCCAGAATAACCTCACTCTTACGGACCTCCAATTTCTTATTAAGCATATTGTTTAAGCAGTTGAATTTTGATACATTCATTCCAATGAAATTCAAGCCTTGTTATTGCAGTTGCAGGAAAGAAGTTCATACCTCTGTCAGCCACGTCCAGACTACATATAGTGCTACATGTAGTTCTCGTGAATGGTGATGGATCTTCAATTATTAAGTTGATGGTAACGCCGATCAGCTCTAATGGATCAAATTAGTCTACACAGACTTCGTCAATGTTTCATTGAGGAAATTCTATTTTATTTCAGGTGAACTTATTAAAATGTTTCACAACGTCACTTATTTTCATACTCGTGAGAAGGTCAACGATGGCTTCGTTGCCAGGCTCCACCGCCTCATTGAACTTGTGCTTCCTACAGATTTATTTGACTTCTAAGAAGAGGCGAATCACGACGTTTAGTGCTTAAAAGAAAGTGTGCGTACATTCTCTTCGAAACATGCAGAGTTTGGAACTGTGGATGATCCGAAGCTGTTCAACCAGTGGATGATCTGCCTGGTGCTTAGGGGGACACCTTACATCGACTGGACCCTCAATTAGACGTGTGTTCACTCCAATGTGGGCTACGATCATCGCTCTGATGCTCACCTTTCTTTTGGGCTGTCAAAACGGGTCGATTCAAACATGTTTTTACAGTGGGTTCACACCCGGGGTTGCCATGAAGTTGAACTCTTATGCGGGACCACAATGACGTCCATCAATAAGATATACGTCACTCAATCCTCACCCTCATGCCATCCACTTAACTTCTGCGGCTCTGCCAACTTGTACTTAAACTGTCCAAATCTACTGGTTGAACTCACTCTTGTGTTAGTATTCAGAAACTTGGAACTAAAGAGGATTATACACAATCGAACACCTTGTGAATGGGTAAGCACCCAATGTACTACTGTCATGCTGCAAGCGACTAGAGCCACGGTTTAATAGAAGAAGTGAAATTGTTGAAGTAGCAATATAACTCCCCAGGAAATCAGATTTGAAGATGAGAAAATATATTACAGAAATTAAGCTGATTAAGAATGAGAATTGCAGTTCACAGCAAAGGTTATAAAATCAGTCCTCAACCCTCTGGACACAAAAACTAAGAATTCTTTTCAGAATTTTGAAGTCTCGATATTTCGAAGAATAAGAGCTTTCCACGGTTCGGTATTCTTGCAAGTCAAGCGGTCGTCAAAGCCACAAAGAATGAAAAACTATTTTCTGAGAGACAGTGGCCCATCGTTGGAATCAGGTCACTGTGATGGTTGCATATAAATGAAGCATTGGACTTGAACTTCGATAAGTACTGCTCAAATGACTGCTGCTCAGGACGTCTTGAATACTGTGCGATTGCTTGCAGTATTGTCCATTTCCATATTCTTGGTGCTGTGAAGAAAGCTGACTTGCATGCATGCACATGCAACATTCACAATCTGGAGAACTAGGAAGTTGTGAAACATCTAATGCTTCATTTTCGTGATGAAGTGAATGTTTGCCTTGTGCAATTCAGACAAACCTTCAGGTCACATCAAGCAGCAATTTGTTGAGACACTTCACACAAAAACAAAGAAAAGTGCAACCATTCTCTCATAAGTTGGTGAAATTGAAGTCGTCTTCTTTTATCTGTAAGTGGGTGCCTGATGTTTCTTTCTTCCATTGGATTAACTGACAACATTTACAGTTGGCTGCACGCTAATTACATTTTTCCTTGTGAAATCGCATGTTAAGCTCTTTTATCTGAAGTGCAGATAGAAATATAGGGGCTTATAGTATCTTAGGTTGTTACGGCAAGAATTTGTTACATTTCAGTTTAATTGATTTTATTTTGAAATTAGATATAAGAAACTTTTATATTGAAATTTTTTGAGTGTATTCTTTCTAATTTAAAATACTAAATCAAATGAAATAATTTTTATTACACTCTATTAAAAGTGCATAGAATATACATATATATATCTTTTGTTGATTAAGATACTAAATCTAATTTAATTTTTTTGTTAGATTATAGACAAATTTCTTACTTGATAGAACATAATATAATTAAAATTAATAGATTGAATTAAAAAGATATATTAATTAATAAATATTAATTTTAAAATACAAAAAATTAAACATTATCAAAAGATTCTTAAATTTCAACTATAATAGACTATTTTTTAATTTTTTGTATGTACATATATATATATATATCTATATATATACATACAAAAAATTAAAAAATAGTCTCTATATATATACAAGAATATTAAATTGGCTGTAATAGTGATTAAATTGATCTCCCCGTCAAAACCATTATTATATCCATCCATCTTTTGTTTCCATTTCTAGCCTACATCCCATGTCTCTCATTTGCTATTTTTATTTTAAGTCTACATCTCTTGTCTTCTATTCTTGTTTCAAGCCCATGTTTCTTGTTCTTTGTTTTTGTTCCTAGCATTCATTTCCTATCCCAACTTATACCTTATTCTTGTTACCAACTTTCATCTACCATCTCTTCCTTCTCCATTACTTATTATGTTGTGCACCATTATTCTTTGATTTATTTATCAAAAGGGACAAACCTCTCTAGACCAATGTCCAACATCCTCCTCTTCAATATAATTTATTTTCTGGTTTTTATCTCCAATATGCTTGTTCTTTGGCCTTTTCTTGTATCTTATGACACTTTCATGTTTTCTTGGAATTTCTTTTTTTAATATAATTTATTTCCCTTAGAAACATGTCTTATTTAAAAAATAAATTATTTATTATAATTATATATTTTTTAATTATAATATATATATATATATAAACTTATTTATTTAAAAAATCAGTATTCTATATTTTTATGTTTATAAATACATATAAATGATTTTATAACAAAAAAATCCAAAAGAAATAAATCCAAAAGAAATAAATCCAAAATGATAAAAAAAATTAAAATAGTAGGAGTTGTACCAATAAACAATAGCAATCTATAATTAAGAGGATAGTACTAAGAATTTTTGGCAGACAAATCCAACAATATACTAGTAGAATTTGACTCATCAAAAATAAGAAGTATATAGAAGTAATCCAACAACAAAAGTTAAAATTCTTCTTATAAACATGTATTTTCAATAATATGTTCACCAATGTCTACGTTGGTTGATACATTCATAATCAATGAATTAATTGAAGTAATATTTACTTAAAAATAGATAATTTAATATTGATAATATCATTTAATTTTTTTTAATGATAACAAAGAATGAACATACATATGAAATTACAAAATTACAAAGAACTTAATATTTTAAAGAATTACTAACACTCCTTGTTGACAAAATTTAATACTCCACATATTATTACATCATTAAACATTCTTTATTGTATTACTAAAGATGCCAAAGATGTTATTTAGGATTTCTATTATTATTATTATTATTATTATTATTATCATCATTAGTATTATAGTCATTTTATTTTAATTTTAAAATTATATATATATATATATATATATATATATATATTTTGTTTTTTGATAGCGTAGTAAGAATTTAACCACCATGTTATATAAATAGTACTATGATTTTAAGCTTCACCATAGTTAGAATGTTTGATTAATTAATAATATATTAAGTATAATTAATTATTAAAAAATCAATTCTTTTTTTTAAACTTCATTCATTAAAAGAATGATTTATTATTGTATAATTGATTCTTTATTCTTTTTTAATTTTATGCACAAATGAAAATGAAAGACATCAGTTGGAGATGTTTAGATGGAAAATAAGGGTTGCAAATGAAAACTTGAGATGAAGAGTTGGAATGGAAAATGGGGGTTGGAAATAGGAACAAGGGACGAGAGAAAGAGGGAGGAGATTTGGGAGGGAAGATAGGCATTGCAAATAGAAATAGA